TGCTTTGCCTAGTTTCAGATTGGTGACAGCTTTAGTAACCTCAGTTAGGGATGGAGGACCTGTGTCTATATCCCATTCAGGGAGGTGTTGGATGTTCGGAAGGTTGAGCGTGGCTGTAGGCCAATTAAACTGCTCCTCATAATGCTCTTTCCAGCGATCCAGTCGTCTATCCTGAGAGCTAATTATGGTGCCATTTTTCTCCGAGATTGTTTCACTTATGATTTGTCTTCTCCCACCCGTTTCCCTGATGAGTCGAAAGAGTTGCCTGGTGTTGCCTATCCCCGAAGCTTTTTCCATCTCTTTGGCTTTTGTCACCCACCACTGTTCACGGTCCTTGCGGAGACTTTTCGTAAGTTTCCTTTTGTGCAGCTTTCGCTCCTCATTGAATTCGGAGCTCGCCGGAATAAGTCTTCTAGCATCTATCAGTTCGGATGAGGCGGTGGAGATCCAGTGGTTTTTACTCACCTTTGGGTTTACCTTATTCACAGCTTTTACAGCTGTATCTATGGCTGCCTGGATATTCTTCCAAGCTTCTTCAGGGTGAGCACAGCTGTCGAACACAGATATGTGTTTAGCTAGTTCTTCCTCAAATACGGATTTAGTTTCCTGATCGAGCTGGGGACGTGATGGTTTTACCGCCAGCTGTTTCCTACGTCCGTTCAGTCGTAAGCACACCCGAGCGCGGACCAGTGCGTGATCGGTATCTAAACACGTGTTCCAGAAGGAGCGACAATCTCCTACCGACCCACGCCAACGATAGCTTATTGCTATGTGGTCTATTTGTGTCCAGCGTTGGTTTGATGATTGGGGTCGCCAGGTTAAACAGTGTCTCTCCTTGTGTTTAAAGTTAGTGCTTACAAGAAACAAATGATTATCTGAACAGAACTGTAGGAGACGGTCACCGTTGTCGGTTCGCTGGCACGGGACGCCATAGGTGCCACCGACATCCTTCTCAGATTGACACAATTTCCCTACTTGAGCATTAAAGTCACCAGGTATATATCTGAGCATTTAGCCTTTCGCAGAAAACTAGACAGCTTTTGGTAGAATTCATCCTTCGTTTCATCCGAACTGCAGTCAGTTGAGGTGCAGTCCTTTTTACTGATCCATTCAGACGAACAGCACACATTCGGCTATCTACCGGGGTCCAGTCAAGTAATGTCTTTTCTGCCCTAGTACTCAACGCTATCCCGACGCCAGCTAAACCTCGAGAACCAGCTGTGGCATCTACAGACAGGAAAAAGAATGATATGATAATCAACAAAAGCTTGAAGTTTGAAAATATAGAAACTTTTATTAGATAAGAAGCAGGCTGCATTTCATGAGTGTGTTTGGGAACATAGAAAGAAGTAAAAGCTGGTCGAATGCAAGCGAATGAAGATGAACACTAGCAGGGAACAAAATCAAAAGATATTTTAAACGCAATTATGTAGGCTGATCAGGGAAACAGGCTGTGAAAAACCAATCGTAAGTGAACGATGTTCAAGAAGGATGGCACTTTAATTGCTCTTCCAGATAGATGAATGTAACGTTGGAGGACAGAAGACTCAAAGCTATCCCTACGCCAGCTAATCCTCGTGAACTAGCTGTGACATCTCCTGACACTGTCAAGGTGAATTTTGCAGATTCAACCTGTTGGCCAGGGGGGGGGTAGGTGAATAACCACACTTGGATCTTGTATGCGTGTTTCTGAAACACAACATACATTAATGGCTCGGGACGCCAGATTCTTGGCTAGTGATGCTTGTTGTCCTATTTGGTAAAGTGTCCTAACAATAAATGCTCCTATATGAAATTGGTGGCGTGGCTTTAGGAAACTTTCGGTGCTGGTATTTTGGCTTCCGTCGTTTTTAGTGGATACAGAGTGAAGATGAAGTGAAGAGCTATCAAGTAGAGGAGTTGCATCAGTGGAAGGAAGGCAAAATGATACAGATGAAGAAAAAGATGAGTGAGTATTAGAGAGGTTTCGTGTGCATTTCGGATTGTGAGGGCGATTGTTACTTCCCGGCTGCCCACACCGTGGAAGTTGCTTGCGTGACCGCAGAGCCCAGGGGACAACTGCTTGAGGCCGATCACACGCGGCCTGCTTTTGTTTGTTCTTTATTGTTTTGTGTGTCTCAGTAGCATATTTATCACTCCTGCCCTGTGACACGGCAGCAGGAAGCGCGGTCGTTGTTAATCCGGGCCACGGTCGATCCGGCATGATATTTTGTGATTTTGCATTTATCATAATGTTGGATTGGGTAGCTGCTTTTTGTTTAACCGCTATCCAAACAACCTTTCTGGCATGGTAGGACCTCAAGAGACATAAGTCCCAGCCAGTATAGCTTGATTAGGTCATTGGGGTGTTCAAGCCCGACCACCACGTCAAGGTAGCAGCTTTCGGTGGGGAACCAATAGTAAGCCAGCCAGTTACTAACTAGTGTCGAGTCATTAAAAACCAATAAAAAGTCTATTGTTCAACAAATATGCCAAAGGAAATGGAGATGGATCGGATATACATTGAGCAGACTGCTTTGATGTTGAGGGCCATGCCTTCATGTGGAACTGGAATGGCGAACGACGGGCAAGGCTTGAGATGTTTGCACAAATGAGTTCATTTGTGGAGTCGATCTGATCCAATTAGATTCTTGTGTTCTCATGTGTTGAGTTCTAATTAATAATTAAAAATATAGATATGTAAATGCAGCTATATATTCCACTGGGATCCTTTAGGAATAACAGTTTTGATACAGTCCATATAAGCACTTTTTATAACTTTAGCTTAGGTTATCTGTATTCCTATTGATTAGCAGTCAGTTCAAATACTGACTAGCCACTTATTGCCAACTTCTCCATATCCTTTTACTAATCAATATATTCTTGAAGGCAGACTGCACATAGTTTCCAACATGCAAATCTGCATAAAAATGGATCAGTTCAACTTTCTACTCGAGGAATATTACGGAGAAGGAATGTTCCTCATATGTGCGCTTTCTTGTTGTAATAGTACACTTTTAAGTTTCGGAATTCGTTTTCACGGCTTTGATTCATAGTATGTCTTCTTTTCTTTTGGTTTGAGAGTGAAGCTGTGCCTTGAATTCTTGATGTTTTTAAACATTTTTTTCATTTAAGGTACCCAGTACGCTATACTACCGCAGATTTCGTGACTGATAAGACTGAACCCGTTGTCCACCACGGTCACTTCTTGTGTTCACACTTCAGCAGCCCATACTCAAACGTGCATTGTATATATTTGAGGTCGGATCTGACTATTATGTCTGGGAGTTAAGCATTCAAGGCGTTTTGAGCAAATTATCTTATACAGGACCACTCCATTTAAGTATTGTTCCCACTTGATGGTTGGGTGGTCTAGCTGAAGACAACTAGCTTACGACTAAATGGAATAGTTTGAACATGTGGTTCCGTGTGCGAAATAATGTTCCATGTACATTAGCTCATTTTAAGAAGGAAAAAAGCAATCCGGAGAGGCAGCAGTAGATTTTCTCTTTGATCGTTGATAGCTACCCTCGGGGAAAGAATAGCCAGGCACATTCTTTCATAAGTGCACGAAGCTAAAATCATTATCATCCACCTATATCAGCTTGCTTTTTCATCACCGTTTTTACTATTCCACAAGTGGGTTGGCCAACTTCTCAAATCTCTGTGACCATTATTTGGTATGCGACACACAAAACACTTCATAACCTCTCAAAAACATACTACAAACTACATAATGTAGCATCCCATATAAGGAATCGGACAAGCCATAATAACCGGAGGTACTGCATCTCTAGCTGTAGATGTATGTGTGTGTTTGTCTCGGAGACGTGAATGCAGGACCCAAATAGTTATTCACTTAACCCAAACTAGCCAACATGAATCCGGAAAATTCACTTCATATTTGTTAGGAGGTTCTACAGCTAATTGGCATGGACTGGCTAGTGTAGTAATAGCTTCGAGTATCAGGACAGAAAAATCGCCATTTTGTCGGGTTCCAGTGGATAGTCATACTTGTATTTTCTGGCTGCACAGATCAGAGAGCAGAGGACAAGGTTGCGATACCGTCGATGTCTGTTTACAGTATCCGCTCACACTACAACAAAGATGTGTTCTATGAAAACTGCAAAGGCGAAACGCTCCTATATAGTGCCTTCAGCAGTTGATCTTAATGCTGAAATAGGGAAGCAGTGCCATTCAGGAAAGCATACTGGTGGCATATAAGGAACCCTGTTCCTAAAAAACTGACAAAGTTGATCACATTTTTTACGAGTGAAAATCGCGCTAAGAAAGTAGGCGAATTTCCATTCAAAACTTCGAAAAACCCCTCAGTCTTCTTATAAGAGTGATAACCATGTATCACATATCTTCTTGTGATTCCCTCGATCTCGCCTGTTTTAAACCCGGTATTATGTTCTTTTATTTATTTTCTGGCCTTATCAACTTCTATGTTTAAGTGCGGAATTGTATGATGTGGCGAACTCAACATTCCTGTAATAATCCTTAGGTCATATTAGTTGATGCCACTTCGTCACAGACAGAATAAATTATACTGAGGTAATTGATCATTACATGTCACTTCTCATATTGCATATCTTATCTGTCGTGCCGTTTGCAGATTTTTTGTTTATTAATGTGTCGCTTCCCTGTTACACACCATTTCAGGCTTATCGATATCCTTATTCGTATAGGGAAACACATGGGCTGTTATAAAATATCACTCGACTGTAGTGATGATAAAGTCGGATTTTATGAGAAACTTGGCTTCCAGTCTAAAAATAATATTATGTATATACGATTCGATGAGAATTGATGCTGTGATTTGTGTTTATGTAACGAAAAACAATTAACTGTATGATTATGTGTATGTAGCAATGAACAGTCTTTCACTATTTACTTCAATGATTCCTCAGAGAATATTTCGAATTGTTACGGTGAAGATAATGTTTTTAAATTCGGTGATTTCAATGAGACTTCAAATGAGACTCCTTCATTTTTTTTAAAAAATAAAAGCACTTTTCGAAATTCAACGTTTGCTGTTTTATTTGTCATCTTAATATGCCCAGACAGCTGTCTGTTCTGCATTAGTGTCTGTCTGTGTGTGTGACATTCTATTTTGTAATGTTTACATATCAACATATAAATGATTAACTACAACGTATCACATAAGTTTGTGTAAGAAACCAACATTTTAAAAGTGTACAATAAAGTTGAAAAGAAAACAAGGCTTCTCCGTGTGGAGACAATGTTTTGAACAACATTCAAAAGTGAAACAATAAACGAATAAAGAGACTTGAAAAATATTGTCACACATTGTTGCTTGTTTGTTTATTTGACCGGGAAGGGAAAGTGCCCTTGAAATGACTTCGGTTGTAATGTGAAAGACATCTAGAGTACATGTTCGTATTTGTCTAACAACGTTCCAATGTTGCAGTCCATGAATTGAAAGGTGTCAGTACACTGTAACCATCTAAACGTGATAATTCATCACGGTGTACTTGACTTGATTGAGCCAATTTACCCACTAGAATTGCTGCGTTTCTTTTGGTGTCTAACCTTTTACTTTCCTGGAACAGAGAGATAGTAAAACGACAGTAGATTTATGCACTCATTGGATAGATATTTATGGTTCAACCAATATATTAAAATGAGAAGTTGTAGGGAGATATGAAATTCGGCTACTGATCAAAGGGGACGTGTGTACTGTGCATTGGTTTGATGTGTTTTTACTACATAGTCAATGAGCTGATTGACATGAGTCTTCAGTACTGTATGTACGCCCTGCCGACAACTGCTACCTTGCCGTGGTGGTCAGGCTCGAATACCGCAATGACCCAACAAGCTAAACTGGCTGGGACTCATGTCCCTGCAGGTCCCACCATGTCAGGAAGGTTGTTTGGATAGCGGTTAGACTAAAAGCAGATACCATGGGGTACATGGGCTCCAGTATCTAATCGGATCAAATAGAGTATGAACCCATATTGGTCACCGGAAACCATGGGAATGCAGCTCTTGACGCTGCCTTGCAGATTAGACTCCAAGTCAAAGACTCGGGGGGTGGTTCTATAAGAAAATCACCTGCTTCAGTCTAGGCGCCCGGGCAGTATCTCAACCCTCACACAAGAGATGAAATGAAGCAACAAACTATCATTGAAACTTATCGCGCGCTACTAACGATGATTTGAAGTAATAATGATGCCTCAAATAAATTATGTCTTTCCAACCTTACTTTTATTTTTATACATAGACTCCTGTATTTTACCTTTGCTAACCTTGACTTCTTCACCTTCGACAGCGTTTCGCCTTTATCTGAATCCCCAGCCTATCTGTGTCGTTTCGAGATGTTAGTGAGTAGCCCTCAAAATGACTGTCCCGAATGTGGCATCTAACACAGATATCTTGAAACCGCGTGCCGCGTTTAAGCTGGCCACTCACAACTTACCAACTTAGCGATCTCTTGAAACAGGTGGGTCGGAGAGATACCGTAGTGCTGGCTGGGGACTTGAATGCACAGGTCGGGCGTCTAAGCTCAGAGGAGAATCGTCTAGGTAGTCAATGGGGCCTACATGGTTGCAGGTCAGATAATGAGGACCGTCTTCTGCAGCTTTGCGCGGATCACAACCTATTTCTAGCCAGCTACAATTTTAAGCTCAGCCATCGCCGTAGCGCTACCTGGCGTCCTCCCTCTGCGAAGCAAGCTTGGACTCAGATTGATCATATTGCTGTCAATTTCCGGTGGCGAGGATTCATACGAGACTGTCGCTCCTTCTGCAGCCCATGCCTGGATTTCGATCATGCGTCAGTGTGTGTCAAGTTCGTTTTGCGATTTGGTGGGGTTCATAAAAGCCGTCGTCTAAGCGTTGATTTGAGCAAACTAGTAGCACCTGCTAGTTCTTTGAAATACCAAAATGAGTTACAATCAATGCTTGCCAGCAACCCCCCAAGTAGTATAAATGAACATTGGCTTCATGTGCAAGGTGCCATGCAAAGGGCGAGTGTAGCCGCTTGCAGCTTGAAAGAATGCTCCTCTAAAAAACCACTGGGTTTCTGCGAGTTCCTTGCAACTCCTGGATGAACGCCGGTCCATTCCAGCTGGCAGCGAATACAACAATAAGTGAGAGGCGCTCACGCGCAAGATAAGACAGTGTTTACGTAAGGGCCGCGAAGCCTGGTGGTCAGAACGTGCGTGTGGGATGGAGTCAGCTGCTGCATCTGGCAACAGTCGGAAGCTGCTCCAACTCATCCAAGCCACTGGCAGCAAAAAAACAAGGTGTCAGCGAGACGGTCTGTGAGGCAGATGGCATGCCAATTGCAAGCTTGAAAAGATGCTGAGCAGAGCACTTCGGGAAACAGTTTAGCTGGCCATCAGCTTCAGTGTCTGCTGTCATTAGCCCCAGTGCTCCTTGGTCAGTTAGTACCGACCCACTCACCGAAGCGGAGGTCCGTAAGGAACTCCAAGTGTTGAAACGTCATAAGGCGCCCGGCCCAGACAATTTACCCCCGGCTCTTTTTAAAGATGGTGGCGAGACTCTCGTAATAGCTCTAACTGGGCTGTTCAGGAAGGTATGGGAGACTGAGAGTGTACCATCAATGTGGAACGAAGCCATTACCGTCTCCAATTTAAAAAGGGTCGACGTAATTCGTGTGACAATCATAGGGGTGTCAGTCTGCTGCCGATTGCGTCTAAAATATTGGCAGCTATCTTGATTCACAGGCTGGGTTTCGTTCAGGTCGGGGATGCATTGATCGTGTTCACCCTCCATCAGTTGTTGGAACAGCGCCACACGTATTGCAGGCCAACGATCGTTGTGTTTCTTGATATTAGGGCTGCCTTCAATGCGTTGGACAGAACTAGGCTCTGGAACTGTCTGTTAGAGAGAGGTGTACCTGAGAAATTTGTTAACATCTTGAAAGCCCTATACAGAAAGACCTCGGGTAGAGTAAGGGCATACAACCAATTATCATCACTGTTCCCAACCAACAGTGGGGTTAGACAGGGTTGCCCAATCTCTCCATTTCTCTTTAACTTTGCCATCGATGACATTCTGGAGTCAGCTCTGAAGGATGTGCGTGAGGGTAGTGTAGATCTGCCACCTGAAGATAGACTTTTCGACCTCGAGTATGCAGACGATATCGTCTTACTGTGCGATAGCACGCAGGCTGCCCAAATCGCACTTAATCAGTTGGCGATCAGTGTCTGTATGGTATGTGCTTTGCGCCGTCTAAGTGCAAAGTACTGTTACAAGATTGGCAGGAGTCTGTACTTGCACTCACTGTTGCGGGTGAACCGCTTGAAGTTGTTGATAAGTTTGTGTATCTGGGTAGTTGTGTGAGTCGAGGGGTGGTGGATGAGATTTCTAACCATATCATGAAGGCTAGGGTGGCATACATCAACTTGAGCCACCTCTAGCGCCGTCGCGACATTAGCCTGGCTATCAAAGGTCGAGTATACAATGCTTCGGTGCGGGCTGTCTTGCTCTACGCCAGGCCTGTGAAACCTGGCCTCTCCGAGCTGACGGTGTGCGGCGACTCTGCATGTTCGATCATCGCTGTCTCCGCAGGATTGCTTGCGTCCTATGGCATCATCGCGTGAGTAGTTCTGAGGTTCGGCGGTGGAGATCACCATTCACTGAGTGTCGTTATCTGGAAACACCTACTCCGGTGGCTTGGACATGTGCTGCGAATGTCATCCCAGAGGCTTCCGTACAGGTGTCTGTTCACTAGCCAGTCCTAAGACGGGATGGAAGAGGCGGAGAGGTGGTCACTCCGTGACGTGGCGTCGTGGGATGAAGGATTTTTGTGCTAGATTAGCATCGGTTGGTGTGTCACGACTCCCTGGTTGGGGTCCGAGAGACAGCTCAAATCGATGGCTAAAAGCGTTATCGGATATGGCCAAGAATCGAAATCAATGGCGAACGTGTTGCGATTTCCTTCTTTCTTCCCTTTTTTTTTGATTTACAGCTTGATTCCACACTGTATTTTTGGAACAAGTATGGAATTTTCAGCATGGATATCGGTAGCCCAAATTTTGCAGGCCGACCATAGATATTCCCGATGATAGTTAGCGAATACTGTCTGAACTTGTTAAGCATGACTGTTTTCCTTCCAGATGAAGTTCTTTATCCGTTCTCTACTTATATTTTTTTTCTTACTTTTGATCTATGTTGTTTTATTATAATTGTGTGGCGCATCTTTCTTGGTGCCATATTGTACCAACTTTTTTCTGCGTTTCAATAAAATAAAATAAAATGTACGCAGTGAATTGCATTTTTTGTTTCTACATAAAGACTGGACATATGCCAGAGGCCCATTTGTGAACTTAAATCGATCGTATAGTGCCTAGGTTGTACGATTCAATCGAGAACTAGGGAAGCATCGGTTACACCAAGACTAAGATACACCTAGTTACTGGATGAGCACCGACGACTACGAATCTAAGGGACAGTTTGCTAATCATCTTGTTTTAACATAGAAATCATTCCAGTCTTTATTTAGAATACAATATTCCCCCATATATAACACTTACATTCATAACCAATCATCGACAAAAAATGTCTATAGAAGCTTTACAGATTTACAATCCCTGTAAATGTTATTTTCTACTCTTAAAACTCGCTCATTCCCGAATCTCAACTATGCTTAGACAGATTTTCACTAAAGCTGCTAATGAGTTCTGTTTGTATACAACTGTCGATGATAAGATGAAACTTAGTGAAATTATTGTATCTTGCACAACAGTACGTTCCTGTTCTATTGAAACTTCAGAAGGAATTTACACTTGTCACATAAATTTCAATCTCAATAAGCAGTGTAACCGCTATGATCACTGTCGGTGTTATTATTATTATTATTATTATTGGCTTTTCGTCATTATTGTTATTATTTCCAACTATCCGATAAACTTACCTGTATTAGTGATAATAAATCATAAATTACTGAAGTGCCTTGAAGATGTTCAGCCAACGGCGTATCTGTGGCACAATGCTGTAAAATAAGACAAACATTTCCTGCTAATGGTTCATCTCGGGGTGGTGTTCGAAGAGTATTCGATTTTCTATTATTATCAGTTGCAGTAAAAGGTAGCCTTACACGAATAAATCGCGCTAAACGTCTTACACGGCGTCTGTCATCTCCAATGATATAACGTAAAGATATTGAATGACTGGTACCAGCAGCTAAACAGCGTATACATCCATTGATTAAATGTGATGATATACTATTTGTTCCTTTGGATTCTGAAGTATTTTCACTTGCATTTTGATTATTCGTTGATACTTTTTGAAGATTATTCTTCCAATATGAATCTGCTGAACTGTTCAAAAGAAACAGAGTGACAATTATGATGCGTGCAGTCTTTATTATATGATCGATAGTAAGATGAATAGTGTTATCAGATAGTTAACAGACAGAATACACTACATTTTATTGACAACAGTTACTTTGAAATGATAGATGTCCTGACTCCACGCCTCCCTAGGGACACCACTATTCACTGAACATGCATATTATAAATCCATCTAACTAGTTCTTACTAGAAGGAAACGTGAGTCGTGAATTCCTCTACTAGTCGACGCCATATAGGCAATCGAAATGGGTAACGATCTCACTACACTCAAACTCCGAATATAATACCTTTGGGATGTCCATTTCAAAAGACGTATTCTTTTCAAAACAAAATGCTTTTAAGATAGCAGCGACGTTATAGACTTATTTCGATGTTACCTAAACTAAAATAACCAGTTGATTTGAATGAATCAGTAGTTAGTAGTAGTAGCAGTAGCAGCAGCAGAAGAAGAAATCTCCTTCATGAAGAATTATTCGATTCAATGTTAGTTTGTCAATTTTGGAAAAGGCGAAAACAATCAATCAGTCCGATAATTTTCATAACAACCTGGAAGATTACGCTTAACATATCACATATACTAGTGTTAATTTTCAGAGATTCGATTGATTTCAAGTGAGGTCACGAATCAATAAGTCATAGGACCATTGAAAATCAGGGAGTTTCGGACAGATGTTGCATCCTAGTTTGCGACTACATAGTGGGAAGAACCAGGAGCCTCCATTTAACGAGGCGAGCCCATTGGTTATTCAGCTACAGGGATGGAATCCAATGACCAGTCCATTAATTCTCACTTATGGCAATTCGCAATACATGGCCTTACCACCAACCAATGTCATTAGCCAGTATTCGACCTCACAACCGGTTTGGTGGAGCCCACAACACCTCCTTATAACTACAAGCGACTGGTCAGATAAAAAGGTTTAAGAGGTCCAGTGAATCGTAACCAATTATTGCAAACATTACACCTACCAACTGTCTAAAACAGCAATAAGCAACCGTGTACGTGACGGCAAATCACTTAATGGCACGTGAACACTTGACTCTGATGCAGTACGTTCTCCGAACCAAGAGGATAGCTGAACAGGACGGATAACAAAGTAGAAACAAATAAATACAAATTGAATGAGTGAAACTAAGAGAAGTAAATTATCTCCAGTACAGTTAACCAATTAATAACCAAATTGTCATCTGTATACACAAGAAATAAGTAAGCCAGTGGTAAACACCAAATGATCCGCTTGATTAAGCTGGATGGTATAGAATTTAAAAGTGAACATAATACTCTGAAGAATTTATTACATCGCATCGTCGTAAACCAATTTACATGTATGCCGATACAAACAGACATATACATCTACAGAGGAGTTATCATGATTTGCAGGTGACGGTGGATGAACATTTAATTAAATATCCTTTAAAATAAATTAACGAGGCGGGCCCATTGGTTATTCAGCTACAGGGATGGAATCCAATGACCAGCCTATTAATCCTAACCTATGACAATTTGCAATACACAGCCTTATCGTCAACCAATATCACATATCTAGATAAGTTCAGGTGGCAGACTACCAGTTTCGTCTATAGTAAAACACGTCGTTGGTTTGAATCATAATGTACATATTAAAACAGATTCTAGATTACGTACAAAATCTTATAAAATTTATGAGGTAATTAGATGCAATATATTGTAATGCACGCTGAAAATTCCACACCTGTACCACAAATACTGTTTGAAATAAAGCTGTTATATTATTATTATATTATTATTAATAGTACTGCTGTTGTTAGAACTCAACTACAGGGAATAAGTCTTCTCTATTTCAAGTTGTGAACGGTGCTTAGTGAGGAAGTGCGGGATTAAAACTGGGAACCCACTGGCTGAAAACCAGTGAGCCACATCCCATCCAGAACAATATTGCCAACTAGACATCAGCATCACTTTTTGTACACGGCAACAGAGAGAGAGAGAGAGACAGGAAACAAACAAAGCAGAAGAACAATTCAGTCTCAAGGAATTCCAATACCGTTCTCACACTTACCTGTTTATTATCATGGGAGCATAATGGCAGAAGTCGTCCAGCTAGCGCGATAGCAATAGCTCTTAATTCTGGACCATGACCAATTTTATCTAGAATAGCACCGATCCCATTCAGTATAGAATTGATTAATTTGCTTGATGTTAAACAGAAGGTGGTTGTACAATCTTCATCTGTATCATTAGCATTTATGCTTAGACCATTGATATTTCTGCGATTGTTGTTGTTATTATTATTGTTTTTAACTGACCGATCTAATTGTCCCACATAAATGTTATGCAGTAATCGACATATTGAACCAATTAAATGAGCGTGACTAAATATACGTAAAAAAAGAATAAAATGATTATGTAAGTTAGCTAGCGACAATTCTGCTTTTGGATGAATAAAACAATGTAAAACTTCTAGACTTGAGCTCTAGCATCTAAGAAAACACAGTCTGTCTCTGTCTGGATTCAACATAGAACTTGGCACCGAAGTGCAGCAGTTCGAGTTGCCACGTTCCAAATAGCACACAGGGGTAGACAAGAAGATGAGTGAAAAGAATCAATAGAGTTTGACAAGTATAAGAGTGATACAGAATGGGTAATGGTAGAAAGGAATATGAAAGATTACAAAGACTGAATACATCTGCGCTGTCATTGACAACGATTTTGAGCCATGTCACCTATTGTCTCCAGCCATTGATTCCTAGAGACCCGAGGGCCCCAACCCGGAAGTCTGCATCTCCCTACCTGACTCAGTTTAACTGTCAAGGATTTCATGGATTGATGAGGCCACCACTTACTCTTTTCCAACCTGCACCTATATCAGCTAGTAATGCCCGTCGGAGGGGGCGATGGTTAGGCATGCGCAGTACGTGACCTAGCCATCTCAATCTATGTAACTTTACAGCTTCATCGATTGATTTTCCCTCTTTGCCCAACACTCTGCGCCTAACGTCAACATTACTTACCTTATTAAACCACCTAACGTGAGAAAGAGATCGTAGACATCTATGATCAAAAACAGTCAACCTTTTCATGTCCTCAACTCGTATTGGCCATGTTTCAGAGCCATAGAGTAGGACGGAGCGAACTGATGAGCAGTACACATGTCCCATTGGTTGATAGCCGGATGTCACGCCTACACCAAAGATGGTGTAAGTTGGCGAAATCAGCTCAAGCTTTTTGCATCCGTGCTGAGATTTCGTCGCCAATCAGTCCGTTGGTGCTGATACAACTTCCCAAATAGGTGAAGTGGTAAACATGTTCTATCACTTCACTCCCTATCACTAAGCTAGGAGTTGACGTAGTCCAGTCCTGTAACATCATCTTGCATTTTACAGGGGCGAATCGCTTGCCATTCATTCGAAAATAGCTGCCTCTCAAGGTGTTCAGAAGACTCTGCATTTTGTCAGCATCCTCCCCTAACAGGACTATGTCACCTGCATATTCTAAGTCCATAAGACTATTCTCTGGTAACAAGTCGATTCCTAAGTCGTTAGGTTCAGTTAAGGATACTTCCATAAGTATATATATCATGAAGGTAAACAGAAATGGGGAAAGTGAACATCCCTGCCGGACACCACTGGTTGTTATCAATACAGATGACAATTCGCCATAAGCCTTTACACGGCTACGGAAGACCTGTACCTATATCCCATTCAGGGAGGTGTTAGATGTTCGGTAAGTTGAGTACGTTTGTAGGCTAATTAAACTGCTCCTCAAAGTGTTCTTTCCAGCGTTCCAGTCGTCTTTCCTGGGAGCTAATTATGGTGCCACTTTTCTCATAGATTGTTTCACTTATCGCTTGTCTTTTACCACCTGTTTACCTGATAAGTCTAAATAGTTGTCTGGGGTTACCAATCGCCGAGGCCTTTTCCATCTCCTTTGCTTTTGTCGCCCACCACTGTTCACAGTCATTACGAAGGCTTCTTGTTAGTCTTCGTTTGAGTAGCTTTCGCTCGTCATCACAATCGGAGCTCACCGGAATCAGTCTTTTTGAGTTATTCAGTTCGGATGAGGCGGTAGAAATTCAATGGGTACTACTAACTTTTGACAGTGGGTTATCAACAGCTGTGTCTACAGCTAACTGTATGCTGTGCCAGTCAGGCTTCCTCAGGAGGAATCTTCCAGTCGACCTCAGATACACGTTTCGCTATTTCTTCCTTAAATAGGGACTCAAAGTCTCGATTTAGTTGGGGACGCAACTACTTCACTGACAACAAGTTTTTACGTCCATGTGATCGTAATCATAAACGTGCGCGAACCAGGGCGTGATTAGAGTCTACTCACGTGTTCCAAAAGAAGTGATAGTCTTCTACTGACCCTCGCCAACTATACCCTACCGCTATGTGGTCTATCTGAGTCCAGTGTTGATTTGGTGATGGGGGTCACGAGATTACGCAGTGTCTATCTTTGTGCCTGAAGTTAGTGCTGACTAGGAACAGATGATTACCTAAACAGAACTATAGGAGACGATCGCCGTAATCATCCTTCAGTTCATCCGAACTGCAGTCTGTTGGGGCGTAAGCGGAGACTACGAAAAGCCAACGATGGATGGCGCCGTCCTTCCTTCTGCTAACGGACCTGTTCAGACGGACCGAATACATACGGCTATCAACTGGGGTCCACTAAAGTAGGACTTCCGCCCGAACACTCAATGTTATCCCCACATCTGCGAGTCCTCACCAACTAGCTGAGGGATCTCCAGAATTTCACAGGTTCACCTTGTTGACCGGGTGAGATTAAGTGAATGGCCACACTCAGGTCTTGTATGCGTATCTCCGAGACGCAACATACATCCATGGCTCGAGATTCCAGAGTTCTTGCTAGTGATGCCTTTTGTCCGATTTGACCGAGGGTCCTGACGTTGAATGCTCTTATATAAAGTTGGCGGCGTGGCTTTATCGCGGGTGTTTCTATGGCTCTCTTCGTTGTTTGTCGTCTCAGAATGAAGTGGAGATGACTCACTAGCATGTAGAATAGTACTGACTGTAGTAGGAAAGTAAGATGATGAGAGTGACGTGGATAAATGAGAATGATGCTCAAGGGGGGCTTTGTGTGCTTTAGGAGGTGTGTGGGCGGGTGTTACTTTCCGGCTGGCCACACCAAAGAAGTTGATTATTTTCTTCAGGTACCTGAAACAGAAAGAGCGTTAGTGTCGCGCGAAAGCAGAGCCCAGGAGACAACTGCTTGAGGCCGGTCGGTCACACACGGCCTGTATGAACTGGTTTATTGAATTGTTTTCGTATTGGTAAACTTACCGCCGGTTACGGACCACCGTAGGTTAAGTCGGAATGTACAATTGTTGGGGTCGACCCTTTCTAACGCCCGCTTCTCTCCACAGTTGAGAGACAGCATAGGTGGTCATCTGAGGGAAACACCTGACTGCTTTTACATCCCTACCAGCGGTGTGCAAGACTCGAGGAGATAATGCTTTCGTATTTCGGACACTAGGTGATGGCTTCGAGTCAAAGGGGGACACCATCACTCACTAGGGCGTACACACATCCGCCTAACAAAGCACAAGTCCTGCATTTCACCACCAGCTACCACCAAACAAGTTATTGAATGAATCCAATGAAACATGCAGAGTTTCTCATTCAGTAATGTGAAACGGAAAATACCGTCCGTTTCTACCTCGCCACATCACACGAACGTTGACACTGTTCTCAGATTCTTATCCTCTCAACTTCACATTTATTGAGCTGACTAAAGCGAATTACAGTATTCCCAAACCACCGACATACACACTCGTCTTCTCCGTGTTTCCTCTTCTTCCTGTCCCTCCTACTCCTCCTCCTCTTCTTCTTCTTCTTCAAGAAACACACTGCATAAATTCCAATTCACACCATCAAATAAATTTCGATAGTGACATTATCGATTTCTGTTTCAGAAACCCATTCTGATGAACCCTGAAAATGACCTAGTTTACATTTCGAGTCACATTCATCTCCAAACAGTGTGCTATGAATATTTTATTCAGGTCAAAACATTGAATTCTACAACTAGATGATTACCCACATCAACACACAAATACACATGTGGTCACAAACTCTAACCAGCTTAATTAGATATGAAAGGTGATAATTATAACCTCTGCACGTAATCTGTGCATAAATATTTGCAGGTCATTCGTGCTAAGAACTTGAGGTGTATTTACACCTTTGTGCATACCTCTTCCTTTCTATGCTGGGATTATCTGAGATAATCTGGAATTGGGAGACTCTTATATTCATGTAATGAGTGATAATAGAATGTGAAATAAAAATCGGAGTCGTTGAGACATTCAAACAGAGTACTCTCAAATGACCAGTGCGACACTACTAGACCCAACAGTTTGGCAGTACACGTGATCATTTCCGTCAAGTGACGATGATGACTTGATTAGCAATTGGGTGGTATCATTTAAGTTATATATCACGAATAAAGTAGTTTAACTGTCAAAATAAAACAAGAAATTTCTATGCTAGCATAGGAGTATGTATTGTTGAAAGACTTCTAATAAGATGTGTGTAGTGGATTATTCTCCAGTATTATCACGTGAAAATATCATCACATGAATAAATCTGGTCAGTGCTATCAGTTGTCAGTTTGGGTTTAGCTAAGGAAATCATTCTAATAAATGGTGGTGCGTTTTCATTTGAAAGCCACTAGTAGAGTACGGATACAGCCAGATGGAAAAACGAGGTGAAGACATATTCAAAATCTATAAAATAAACTGTCAACTTTTCTGACTGTTAAAAAGATACGCTCCGAGCGATGAGATTGTTTTAAACAAGATAATGTACAGAATCGTAAAAAAACTACTAAAATATAAAATACTTTACTTTGGGTCATTCAATAATGGAGTATGGCGTGAAAGACAATCAGCAAGTCCGAATAATAGAGTTTGACGGCTTTGTAGAACAGCTTTTTGAAAAGTTGCATCCTGACAAGCATTTCCCAGACTGTCTAACAATGTAGCCAAACAATGACATGTAGTTGAAGATGACTGGTTAGGAGTAGTTGGCGAAGATGAAGCTAAAGCTGATTCAATGATTAACAGTAGGCCTTGTAATCCATCAGTAGAAGATCGAGCAAGTATCTACAACGAAGACAATTAAAAATAGTGAGCAATATTCATACAGATAAAATATTCAATACAGATAAAATAAAGTTCAGCACCATACTCTAATACTTCCGTAAGCAGAAATATTCAGCCATTTGAAAAAAAGGAAACATTAATGAATATTCATGAACTATTATTTGCAGACAAATCATGTTAAATGTTGATGGGATATTGCAGCTTTCTACTAAACTCATGTTTATGCAATGAACATTCGTGCTCTTTTTTGTCTCTAAACAGACTGTCCATCAGCTGCTTTCTTTCTATGATCTTGTTGGATCTAACTAATACCAGCCTGATATGTATCCACATATATATATGTATGTGTGTGTGTATGTTGGTCTCTTTTCTGTTTGCTCGCTTAGTCTGTGACCATTTCACTGGTATGAACTTGTCTCCTTTATCAATGTATATTCTCCTTATATTATATTATATATAATATGAGTGTTTGTTGACAGTCCGTTGCTTGGTGACATATATCCATATATGGTTGTTCACATGTCTGCTATATTCGCTATGTATAATTGGATCGACACTCCATTATAATTAGCCATTCATGTTAAGACTGTCTAATGATTTTTCCCACGCTTTGTCTGGAACATTTATATATATTCGCATTCACAATTTGTGTGAACTTCTTGACTTACTTACCACTTTGGTGTGAGACCATTTTATTTTCGTCTCCTTGTGTTTGGACAATAGAAGTATCATCGCAAACCTAGTGGTCTTCTGATTTCCGCCTTCTCGCGTCAGGACTATTAGTTTCTCGACCAGTCCATAACAATAATTTAGCGACGAGTACATAACACAGCCTCAGCTGCTTTTGTTAGAGGCACTGAGCTATATTCTCATTTCAAATGCATTTATTTAAGTGGCTTAGAATGTACTACAGTGAAATTCGTGAAACACTTGATAGGCTGCATTATAAAAATTCTGAGAATGTCACCTTTATAAATTTTCAGCATTTATCAGATATCAGTAGGTGAGATATTAACAGACATCCTAGTCACACGTATTCAATTTACATAAGGTCTGTTTGTTGGTGAGGATTAAAAAATATGATTTAAAACTATTTGGGCAGACGTAGGGACACTGAAACAAATTACTACCTCATTTTATCCTACCTATTATAATTGTTTATCGTTTTTTGGAAACCATATGTCGAAATTCGTATTGACAAGAAACTTTTAGTTAGGAATTCCTAGGAAGTTCTTCCGAAACAAGTCAATATATTGCAAATAAGGACTACTTATTCGGAAAATAAAATTATTGAATAACTGCTGTTCCAGAGTGATGCTGGTTGGTAAAAATAAAACCAATAGAAGAAACTAAATGCAGGGATAAAAGTGTCCAAGGAAAAATTCGCCATATATAACTGTGCAACATCATTCCGATGGGATAGAGATTCACTGAAGTATAGAGAGTATAGAGAGACCATCATAACTAAAGCACTGAATAATCGAAACTTTAAAGAACAAGACCCCTTTATATCAATTGTATTCAGTTGTGTATTCATTATAAGAAGGCCGAAATACTCTGCCTTTATATCAGTTCACGTTTTCACTTCTGAATGTCGTATCCTGACAGAGACATATACACGCATGACGTGCTTATAAATGTCTGTCATTTAAAATACGTGAGAAATGCGTTACGTATTATTACTCATTATACTTATTGTCATTTGATTTTATCGAAATTATAATTATCTTAGAAAAATGTGACATGCCATAAAATGACAACATTGTAACAATGCACGAATGAATTTCATCATGGTTACAGGATAGGTCTAAAAGACCCTTTTCTGTTCAATCACATGGTCAGAAAATCATTTCAATCAGATAGATGCATTAGAATTATAAATTCACTTAGTATTTAGCGCCGAAAAAGTTAATTAGCAGACACTTACCTTCACTCCAAGCCGATCTCATGGCCTACAACTGCAAGGTGTTTGCTTATTTGAAATCAATTAAAATCCATCAAATGATTGCATCTAATCTAACAAGTTTCGAGTATAACACTGAGATTCTCCTATATATCAAAATTTACTTCTCTTCTAAGCCACAAGCTTACAAACAAATACTAATATCCTCCTCGCATAAACAACACCATGCCAGCATAGTAAGCCCAACACACAGTTTATAATTTGGGTTTCATTTAAGGGATAGGTACGTGGCGTCACTCAAAAATCCCCTAAATGTTCATAGGTACAGTGATGTTTAAACATATCACAAAGAGGACAGAAGTAAAATTTCGAACGAAGAGCCACAATTCCGCATATTAGAACAGACGCATACCACAGCTTATTCCTTAAATAATACCGTTTCGCATAACAGATAACTGCAGTCGACGTAAACAAATATGTACACCAAAATAAAGTATTATAAAAACAAATGCACCATACAGTGACACAAATATCAATAGGAGTGAGAAAATATATTACAATAAGCAGCGATGTGACTATACCTCGATTTAAAGATTTATCTAGCAGTTACTGAAATAAAAGAAATCAGGTGAAATGGAAACGAACATTTTGAGTTGTCCACCGTTGAGATTAAGATAAGCTTGCTCATCAGTTAAGAGAAATAAGCTAGTTTCTGATGTAGGGCATTATTCTAATGACTTCAAATTGCTTACACAATTACATATCCTGAATTTATGCCATCTCACTTTCCCTCAGAGTCAAAAAGACAAATCAGCCTAACACTCTTTTTGTAAAATTGCATCATTTCAAACTGTTACACTTCGACGAAACACTCAGGAATAGAATACAAACAAAAGATCACTATGTTAGACAGGAGAGAGAGAGAGAGAGAAAGAATAACCAAACACAAGAATAACTGAAGATGTCTGTACTTTCAAAGATGATAAGGAGTCAATATTTCTGCATTGTAGTGAACTATTTCGAATGTCTCTATCAACAGTAACAATGAAGTAGGAATAGATAGATGAAGAGCTACAGTAAGTATTCACGTAAACTTCAAATAATGTTTTTAGTATACACAGTTATTACAAGTATCAAAAAGGTCTATGTGCGCAATTGACACTTACCAAAAATCTTGAACTCTCAGTTAAATATTCTAATATCTGTGCAGCTTTAGCAGCACAAACAACAGACATTGCAGATGAAGCAGAATTACATTTCAACGGGTCAACATTATTATTATTTACTGTATGGACTGAATTATTACCACCTCCAGAGGATACACGAGCAATTAATCCACGTGCTGCATCTGCCAAACTTGATGCATATACAGGAGATGGAGAAGTATTCCCTTGAGATGAAGAGACTGATGCTGACAAACAACTAGCTAATCCAGTTAAGATTGGACCAGATCCACACAGATCTAATAAAGACTGTCGACCACTCGGCAACGACGACAGTGTAACAAATAAGTTGCAGGCAGCTAGTCTAAGTGAACCCAGTATGTGGAAACTGCGTTGTTTTTCTACAGTTGCACTGTTGAGGAGAAAAAGAAAAGGCTTTCATCAGAGTTTTGAGGTGAATGTCACACACACTACTTCAGCAAGACAAAAAACCGTATTTATTAGAAGTCTTAGATCCTGTTCTCTTTATTTGTATTTTCTTCCAATAAGAATTACAAACAAGACATTATACATTCACTGAGCACTCCATTCGGGCAGTTTACACACCGTTCTACGATGGAATATCATACTGATCGATCTCACCACTCGATTGGCATATGTAACAATTCTACCAGTTATCTCAATCGACTCAGATTCACAACCTCACCTATTCCATTTCACACCTTCAAATCATAATCTCAAGTATCACGTCAATGAGAGGATAAATATCAATTCTGGCGAATATGACCATAAGAAAACCTCCAAGGATAGTCAATCATGTTCGAAATCACAAGATATTTCATCAATGGAGCGTTCTCAAAGATCACTTCACTTTGAACTACGAACGGAGAATGATGTACACGTTTCGCATTCTGGACATTTGAACAACCAGTTAACACTATTTTCATGACATATTGAAGCAGCAAACTATATGATAAACTTCCTAATATTATAAGCAGTAATGAATTGCCCACTACCTAATTTCTTCTTAAGTCAACAGAATTTTAAACAGCATGAGATCATGACTGCATTATATAATGTCGACGTTTATTATCACTACAGATTTCGAAATTTTCTTTTGAAGAACGTCGACCTACTCACAAGATTTAACTAGTATGATTACACGAGACTGAAAAAGTATAGTGAGTTCAATGAAATTCAAGCATGGTTTCATCACAGGCCGGTTTAGCCGAAAAGTGGAAAAACTTCAGTATAGATGTCTGCTACTCTCAAGATGGCTGTGAATTGTCCGAAATTTTTTCTTCGTCTGCAAGTTCAAATGGTGTGAACCACCCACACTTATTTGGGGACCCTGTGGGTATCAGTATCCGGCTTAGCTGATGTCACTTTTATACTAACGGCCAGAACCGAAGCTGCATTAATCGTTTTGATCATAAGCTATGCCAGAGTAAAAACCAATCAGCTAGGGAAGCAGTGTCTATTTATAATCTCTGACCATGCACCGAAGGATTGCGAACAGGGTGCAATTAAGGATGAGTCTTACTTTCAATTGAGCGAGCACCTGAAATATAGGCATCACAGGGACATCGTAGTATTAGCTGAGGACTTGCACAAGTCGAACATATAGGCTCCTTCTGGAGTGCATATCTGATATGTGAAAATGCTCTAATGTAGACCAGGTTCATCTTGAGATTTGATAGTGTTCATAAACGGTATGTGTGAGTAAACTGGTAGCATTTGTTACTTCTGTGAGTTAAACTTAAGTCTTTCTGGTAACAATACAAATAGTATAGATGAACATTAGGTACACCTACAAGATGTCATGAAAATGTCTACTAAAGCCACTTGCAGCTTAAACGAATGTCCTGTTAAAAACCTATGGGTTTCTTCGAGATTTTTGCAACATCCAGATGCCTGCCAGCCTATTCTGGCAGGTAGCAATCTAAACAAATGTGAAACTCTCAAACGTAAGGATAAAACAGTGCTCACGTAATTATCGCGAGGCTTAGTGGTTATAACGTGCATGTAGGGTGGAATCAGTAGTTGTATTTGGCAATTGTTAACTCTTTCGTTTCATCCAGGCCGCTGGCAGCAAGAAGAATGTCATCAGTAAGGCGGTCTGAGGCAGACAGTACTCTGATCAACAACCCGAAAAGATGCCTGGGACACTGGACAGAGTACTATGAAAAGGCGTTTAGCAAGGCAAACTGCTCCAGTATCCAGTATCATCAACTACAGTGCTACATGATCGGTTAATCCTAACGCACGAAACAAACCAGAGATGCGAAAGGAACTCTCCAGGTACAAGGCACCCGGTCCAGATAACTTATTTCCGGCCCTTTCTAAAGATTGTGGTTGGACTGTTGTCAGGGAATTTACAGGATTGTTTGGGGAAGTATGGAAGAGTGATAATGTTCTATCAGTAAGAAACGAAGCCATCATAGTGGTCATTTTGACAGTGTCCGCCTAATATATGTCACAATAATGGGGGCATTTAGTTTGCTGCCAACTGCATCTTAAATATTGGTAACTGACATTCTGGACAGGTCTGAAGGGCGTGTTTGGTGTAGATCCGTTCTCCGGGGAAAAACTTCGACCTCAAGTAGGCAGATTATATCTCCCTATTGTCTGATAACATGCTGGCCGCACAAACCGTGCTTAATCAGCTGGTGACTAGTGTCTATAAGCGTGGTAAGCGCTTTGCGTCATCTAAGTGCAAAATATTGTTGCTAAATTGGCAGGAGCTTGTACCCGCATTCATCCTCGCAGGCTTACCACTTCAAGTTGTCAATAAATTCGTATATCTAGGTACCTGTTTCAGTGCTAACGGGTGTGTGAAAGCCACTGTGGCACACATTAATAGTTCCTTCTTTCTTCCCTTTCTGGAAGAAATATGAAATGATGAACCATCCTTTGAATAATCTTGACAAATATACCTACTTGACCTCCCTCACTTATTCTATCCCTATATCCCGAATAGATTGTTATTATTTTTGTGTGGAGAACTTTTGGAGTCCACAATGTAGCAAGTTTGTGGTTTAAAAATAATAAGTGAAATTTCATCACTCCTCAAAAAAGTTATGCGAAGAAACATGTGAATCACACGTGAATGTATGAAATCTTAGGGTAATAATAAGCGAAAATAAAAACGATAGTAACAAACCCCGACGAATTGTTATTCTCTTTGGTTGTTGTTGTGGAACAAGTGATTTGCTGAACAAAATCTGATGACATATTTAGGCAAATTAAAGCAAGTTTAATTAGATTAGGCTGACGTTCAATTAGTAGTCGTTGATTCTCTGCGCAATCAATGGTAAGTTGATTTGTTAAATTGAGTAATGCAAGCATTCTTTCCGATGCATCTAACATTGAATGCTTTGACTCATTATTATTAGCAACATTTTCAGCTTCCACATTAATCTGTGTACAATTTCTATTCGAAGCATTTTGTTTAGATGCATCAAGATTTAAAATGTCATAGATTACCTGTGTTAAGAAAATAAACATGTAAATAAGACATTAAATACTTGTAATCATGAAGCAATATATATATATATATATATATATATATATATATATATATATATATATATATATATATATAGTTCTTTGTTATTACTATTCCTTTGTCTCACACCTCTATTTACTGTCTCTATTATGCATTTCTTGTACTTTCTTTTCTTGCTTTGTGTGCTACATGGAGTGTGGCCACATGAATTGCCGCACATCGGTGCAAAGTTCTATTTCGAAAACAGACAGAATCATGAAGTATAAGGGTGATGAAGAGAGTAAAAAACTTTTCAGTGAAAAATATTTCTATTATGTACTCGTCGCCAAATTATTGTTATGTACTGGTCGAGAATTTAATAGTCCTGACGCGAGAAAGACGGAAATCAGAAGACCACTAGGTTTGCGATGATACTTCTATTTCCAAAACACCAGGAGAATCAAAATGTCACACAAGAGTATGAGAGCAAAAATATAAGAATGTCCGAATAAGTGTGTGAGCGAATATTCAAAATGAACAGATCAATAGACAGTCTTAACATGATTGGCTAATTATAATGGAATATCGATCCATATATACATAGCAAAATATATCAGACTGTCAAACAAACACACATATTATATGGATATATATCAATTTCCCCTATCCACGAAGTCGTAATCAGAGACTTTACAATCGTACGCGTACTTACAAAAGTATACAACAATCTATTACTGAACTATACGAAGAGGTGGCCTTATTGAAGCAGTTTCTACAGACAGGAGATAGAATGATATGATAATCAACAAAACAATGAGGGCAAAAGCTTGAAGTTTGAAAATGTAGAAACGTTTATTAGATAAGAAGCAGACTGCATTTCACGAGTGTGTTTGGGAACATAGAAGCAAAAGCTGGTCGAGTGCAAGCGAATGAAGATGAACACTAGCAGGGAACAAAATCAAAAGATATTTTAAACGCAATTATGTAGGCTGATCAGGGAAACAGGCTGTGAAAAACCAATCGTAAGTGAACGATGTTCAAGAAGGATGGCACTTTAATTGCTCTTCCAGATAGATGAATGTAACGTTGGAGGAAAGAAGACTTTGGTGAATAATTCAACTCACCTGGGTACCAGACAAGTGTCAGTATAGGATGTAGATGTCTTCCAGCCGTAACTGAGGTTACAAAAGCTCTCTAATCTAAAATCAGGTAAAGCAGCCTGACGTTACTACATGACCACAGAGGTGTTTAAGGTTGGTGGTGGTAGTAATGAACTATTAACTGGAGTAATTAAGACATTAGATGATGTGTGGGGATGTGAAAGTTCGTTGACGGAAGTGCTTTAGTAGTGTCTGTCATTATGGGAGTACCACGAAAGTATATCACACTAATCAAGGCATTTCCTCTGCTCGAACTCATAACTGTGCAAGAGCTTATGGGAAGTTGGCACCTGTAATTGTGACAACCAGGTGTCCGTCAAAGGTGACCACTGTATCCATTTTCGTTTAATTTAACCGTAGATGACCTTCAACAACCATGGGAAACAGTCTCGTCAACCTCGAGTATTTGCGTGACGCTCTCCCTACAGATGAAGACGCTAATTCCAGTCATCCAAACACCATGAGCAAAAATCTTAATATGTTTAGCATGAGATTCGCCACATCCAAATGTAGGATGCTAGGGGACTGGTAATGATAGGGACTGAAGGGGTTGGAAATTCGCATCAACCCTAATGGGCCGATTGCTTTCAAAATCTCAGCACGGATGCAAAACAACTCATACGGTGTTTGTCAACTCACGTCTTCTATGGAGTAGACGTAATATTCAGCTACCCATCAAAGGACGTGAGTCCTGCACAGCAGTTCACTTTATATTTTTTTCTAAACGGGAGAACTGGCCGTTGAAAGTGTAAGATATGAAGAGGCTAGTCGTCTTTGACCACAAGTATCCACGATTTATCTCCCATATTACATGGTACATTATTGCAAGTAATAGAGTTAATATCTTGCGAGAAAAGCACGCTTCTTTCTGTTCGAAAGTTAGGCGTAAGGTGTTAGGTAAGGAGAGTGTCAACCGGTGAAATTGTGAAGTTACATCGATTGTGGCCAGTAGAACATTTGTTACGCAAAAGCGTTTCCAACAGGCGGCTGCCAACTTCCCTCGACTGAAAAGTAAATATTTCTTCGCTTAATTCAACTTATCATACTTTGAAAATAAGTAGAAATGTAAATCAACAGCCAGTTTCGGTTTGTTATGAGCCCTATTGCGACTACCTAACTTCCTTTAACCTTGGTGAGTGAAGCACGATTCGAACTAGTGACCAGAGTGGTTGGAAATAGAGCGTCTAAACCAGTAATCCACACTATAAAAAAGAACATACAGAAGATGACAAAAATAGAATTTTTATAATGTATGAATAAAGATGAGTTCAAGGCAGAAGCGGAAATGTTGATTTGTCAGGGATTAATGATATTCAGAATTTGAAAGATGATGAGAAATGGATGATATCCGCGTCACTGAAGACGATTTTGAACCATGTAAACAAAGAAACAAATTTGACACTGGTTTTTATTCCTTACGATAACAATATCTGTAGCATTGTCAGTACTCTAATTTCATGAATATACACATTTCTCGAAATTTCAACCTCTTACTCATAACTAGTGTCATCTTTATAGACAAGAAATTGCAATGCTAATTTATATACAAACAACAGACAGACATAACATAAGATCTTGCTGTGCAACAGTTCCGATTGCGACACTATACGGACAGATTAAAATAATAGTGTGTTCAGTGAGAAGAAACTCAGTGGCTTGCTACTCAAAATTAATAGTAATAATAATAAAGGTAAATATGTTAACTGATCATATCAAATTTAATTCGGATGTTATACAATGAAAAAACTTACATTCACTTCCTTATCCAGGAGGGTAAATCCACTTTTTATGCGAAATATTGTTTGTAAGTCAGAAAGTGTTTCTGTTTGTGGATTATGGTTTGTAGAGGTTTTGGTAGTTTCTGACTGTTCCGATATGGATGTGTGAAGCTCACTACTCTTTCGTTTCTTATTAGACTTTGTCTTCTCAGGAGAATGTTTCATGGCCTCGAGAGACTCAGTTTTCACGTCTAGATTCGTAGTTTTGACTTCATTGACAGTTGTAGGTAGTGACTTCGGAGCATCAGTAAACAGACGACTCATATGGCGTAACCCTGCACTATAGTACCTTGAATTTTGATTTCTCCGAGCCAATTGAGCTAATAGACATAACAACTGTTGACTGAAAATAAAAGTACATGAATTATAGATATAAGTATAAAACTTGGGGACTGTGGTAGAGTATAACTCCATTATGGATAAGATTTTATTTTGATAAATCACACAGTGTTGTAGTTATATTAACTGTTAGTTAGTTACTTAATATAACTGTACAACACTGTGATTTATCAAAATAAAATATTATGCATAATGGAGTTACATGAATTATACCCAAGTTGATTTTTTTTAAAGATGATATCAACAAAACCAAACATCCACACATGTACTTACATATTATTTAAGCAAACGAGCTAACATCTAAAGCAGTGACTGACAGTCTAGTGTCCCGTCTACACTAGAGATGAAAAGTTTGCAAACGCTGTTCGAGCCTTTCATATCCAAACTGAGATTTTACCAACAATAAGTCCATCAGAACTGATGTAACTTCCTAAATAAGTGAAACGGTCATCATGGCCAAATAATTCACTTCCTATCGGCTTAGAGCAGTCACAGAGCATCATCTTACATTCAAAAGTGGCAAATTACATGTCTGACATGAGGATTTCTGTTCAAGAAGTTCAGTTTGAAGGATGAAGTAATGTTCAGTACACCCTCTCTCCTCCGAGTTTCAAGTCTACCTGGTTTTCAGGGGTTCGCTTCCTCAGAGCATCACATCTTAGTTTAAGCATGGTTACTCAACGCAGAATTTCAGACAATTAGTCAAACTGCCCACTCCGTGACGATTATCACAGGCAGATTCGTCTCGCTTTTTATAAACCGGGAGTCGATGACTTAGACTGATTCAACAGACCTAACTCATGTGACCCCACATTGCCTAATATCTTAATTACTCTAGTAAATAGTTGATTGCCACCATTTTTAAAGACCTCTCGAATCGTTCCACCACACCCTGCCGCTTTGTCGTGTTTTGTTTGGAGGGTGTTTGCATCTCATCCCCAAGTAAATTTCGCGTTACCACAAGCTAGTTGGATAGCTCTTCACAGTCTTCCATCCTCCGACGCACCATTCATCCATCCAGAAAAACAATCGATGTATAGTCCTTCTCGGAAGTCGTTTCACTTACCATCGGTTTTTCACAGCCCGTTTTCCTAATCATTCTAAATAGTTTTCTCTCATTACCAAACACTGGTGATTTTAAAATCTCTTAAGTCTTTGCATTTAAGCTTTTAATCGTTTTCTCAGCACGCTAGTCTGTCAGTTCGAATGAAACAGTGGAAATCCAATGACATCCATTTCCTATTATTGCAGGTTATTAACAGCTTCCAGCATTGTTCATACAGCTGGATGGATATGATGTCAGGACTTTTCAGGTTGGGTATTAATGTCGACCGCAAACACGCGTTTTGTTATTCCTTATCCAAGTAAAGACTTTGTGTCCTTGTCAAGTGGTAGGCCCAGACGTTTCATAAGTGTCTGTTTTCTATGCCCTTTCATTCGTAAGCTTTTATGTGTACGGACTAGTGCGGAATCGGAGCCTACGCTGGTCTTTCAGGAGGGGAGTCAATCTTCTGTCTGTATAGCCCATAGGCATGTGGGCTATATGTGTACATGGTTGACTTGGTGCTGAAGGTCGCCAGGTGAGGTAATGTTTGAAACTAGTGTTGACCAGCAAGAGATGTTTATGTAGACAGAAATTTAGGAGACGACCACCGTTGTTAGCACACTGGCATTGGATTCCATTGATACTACCATTATACTTTTCTGGCTGTCAAAGCTTCCTTAATTCAGAATTAAGATCACATACTAAAATGACTACATATGAGCGTTTTTTTTTCATAGAATTCACTCTTCACTTATTCCGAATTGAAGTCAGTGTTGTGGCGTAAACAAGTATCATGAAAAGACATAGATGGGTATCACAGTTCTACCTTCCTATCAAGGATCTGTTCAGCCAAAGGGCAAGTCTACAACAGTGCACTGGAATACAAACAAGTGTTGATTTTCTGCACTAGCACTTAATGCTATTTCTGTACGAGCACGCCCATGCTTACTAACCGTACAGTGAATTTTTAGATTCATCATGTCTGTGAGGTGAAGTTAAATGCATAACCCTATTCCTCGCGAATTTCCAAAATAAACATCAATTATTCAAAATGCCAGACCTCCAGCTATGAACAATGTCCAATTTATAAAACACAACATAATCGAGCAAAGAATATTCTTTTCGATAAATTCCTCTTCTGGCTCTACAATTATATACATGTTTATATACACAGAATATTCAAGGTTGGTAGTTAATAACAATATTAGTGTTTTTTAAATAATATCGATTTGTAAAGCAAGATCAATGCTATGTGGAGTGTTCCAAACTGAAGTTATCAGCATGATTGAAACCAGGAGTACTGATCTCTGTCTCTAGCCAATATTAATAGTCACTGTGTGAGGAAAGGAGGTGAACCTACTTCTGGAGTAGTATTAACAGTAATAAGGCAAGATGAAAGTGGGTGGCGATTAGGAAAGCTTTGTGTGCTTACGGTAGGATGTATGAGGTTATTAACTCCTGGCTATGCAAACCATGAGAGACCATGTACCCGTTTGTATAGTGTAAGGAAGCCATAAATGCAGATTAAAATGGCATCCTGAAAAGGAATACAACTATACTAATTGCCACGCCTCAGATTAGCCCAGAGGAGAAAGAAAAGGATGTTAAACTAGGAGGAACAGTTGTAAGTATCATAAGTGAAATACTTTGTGTGCTTTATATATTTACATTCAGACACAAATATCACGAAATGATAGCATTTTGTATTTCCTCTTCAGTCACGTTACAAATACCATGATTGAGTGTATGAAATAAGGGAACACATTAACAATCTAAAGAGGACAACTAGTCAAGGGTAGGCAAGGCTTTAAACCTACTGTTTTCTGTACACATAATTTGGGATGTGTGTGATTAGTCTGAAGTGCTTTCATCATCTCTAATAACTCTGAATTAAAAAAAAATATGTGAAGTAACTGTTTATCATAAGACAGTAATGAAAAGAATATAACGGTGCTAAAATTTCTGTATATGTGTGCGTGTGAACCCCAGCAGGAGATTTTGAAAGATTCTATTTGCAGTCGTCAATTAGTGAGTCTTAGCGTCACACACAATGTAAGCTGTAGTCTTCGCAAGTCGTATATTTTCGATAACTATAACCACGTATTTGTAATGATTGTATTTTGTTTATATTTTTTACAGAAATTGATTTAACTCGTGCTGTGATGTCAGTCTTTTGGATTCAATCCCTAGTCTTTTATAATTTATAGTCAATCATTTTACAAAGTCTGAGTAAAAACTGAAAAGTACTTTAATCATATATGTTCGCATAACTTTTAATACTGAAGCAATATGCAAAATACACTGCGTCAGAGAGTATCCAGTACAATATATTTTAAACAGCACAGATAATGAAACAAATCAACTGTTTTCTTTGAAAATATCAAAACTAAATAAGCACAAACCTCGAAGAAATGTTTTCATGGTTATCATTCAAACCAGAAGTGAATCCTATTGCTGACTCGGCGAAATTAGCTTCTGCTTCTGCATCTGCTTTTTGAGCAGCAAGGGCAGCTTCAGCCTGAGCCACATATTCTACCAAATAATTAGGCCATTTTTCTTCATTCGGCTTTACTGAAACACACTTGTCATTCTTAGATGAAGAGTAAAAACGTGAAAACGAATAAGCAGCAAGCGCATCAGCCGGTCGATTGAGTGACATTAAAGCTTTCCCTCGATGCAAGTGGACCTTTGCCAAACGCGGATTCGAGAGAATATTGTCATTATGTTTTAGAGGTTCTCCAGTAGGACTTAACTGTGGAGCTTCTGGAAAGAGTAACAAGGCAGTATCACAGTCCTTCAATGCTAGATCAGGTTGACCAAGTCGAAGATATGCCTGTATTCCAAAAAAAAGATATTAGGAACTACAGTGAAAATAAGAGACGAATTGACAGAATCTAGCAAAACATAGTCTCGATTAAAAATTCAAAATATATGTGGTTCGTGGTTGAAAACTAAATGGCTAACTGGCGGTACAATAATGCAGAAACACACTAATATTCCACACCCTTAAAGACCCCTCACTTGAGAATCATGATAGGGGAGTTGTCGTTCTGTAAACATGATCAGCTGTGGCAACTTAAATTTATACATAGAGAAGACAACAGCATTCCAGTGGATAAGGTCGCTCATTTCTCTCAGTAATTATGCGTTTCACGCATATATTATTACTCACAGTGTCTGTCTGTCTGTTTTCGACATAGAACTTTGCACAAATGTGCGGAAGTTCAAGTCGCCACATTCCGTGTAGCACGCGAAGCAAGAGAAGAAAGTACAAGAAAAGCAAATAGAAACAGTGAGCAGAGGTGTGAGACAAAGGAGTAATAAAGAAATACAAAACAGTTTCATTGGAGATCATAAGTCACAGGGAGTGGATGCATCTGCGCCACTGAGAACGATTTTGAGCCATGTCACCAATTGTTTCCAACCATAGATTTTTACCGTCCCGAGGACCCCAGCCTGGAAGTCTACACCTTCCTACGTGGCTTAGACCAACTGTTGTGGATTTCATTGACTGATGCCAAGTTTTTGTTTGACCGCCGCTAGCTTTTTTCCAGCCTGACCCTATATCCGCTAACATTGCTCGTCGAGGGAGGCGATGGCTTGGCATACGTAACACATGTCCTAACCATCTCAGTCGATGTAGCTTCACGACTTCGTCGATTGATTTCCCCTGTTTACCTAGAACTCTACGCCTAACCTCCATGTTGCTCACCTTATTATGCCACTTTACACGGGAAATAGAACGCAGGCACCTATGATCAAAGACAGCTAGTCTTTTCATGTCTTCCACTCTCAGTGGCCAGGTCTCACAACCATAAAGGAGGACGGAGCGGACTGATGAGCAGTACACCCGCCCTTTGGTCGATAGTCGAACATCTCGTCTACGCCAGAGTCGGCGTAAACTAACAAATGCGAAACGAGCCCCTTGTATTCGTGCTGAGATTTCGTCAGAGATCAGCCCGTTGGGGCTGATGGTACTTCCCAAATAAGTGAAGCGGTCAACGTGCTCTACCACTTCACTTCCTATTTTTAAACTAGGCGTCGATGTAGTCCAGTCCTGTAACATCATCTTGCATTTGGCGGGAGCGAATCGCATGCCAAACATTCGTAGATTGCTGTTCAAGGTGTTTAGAAGACTCTGCATTTCGTCAGCGTCTTCGCCTAGAAGGACTATATCGTCTGCATATTCCAAGTCAACGAGATTATTCCCAGGTAGCAAGTCAATCCCTGAATCGCTGAAGTCACCTAGGGTTAAGTCCATTAACACATCTATGATGAAGTTGAATAGAAAAGGAGATAATGGGCATCCTTGACGGACACCACTGGTCGTCATCAGTTCAGATGACAGCTCGCCGTAAGCCCTCACCTGGCTGTATGAGTACGAATAGAGTGCCTTAATCAGTGCAATATATTTTCTCGGAATTCCCTTTACAGCCAAGCATCTCCAGAGAACTTCCCGATCGACAGAGTCGAATGCTGCCTTTAGGTCAAGAAATATAATGACTGTTGGACGCCGGTAGGAATGCCTATGTTCTAGAATCTGTCGGAGGGTGAAGATATGATCAATACACCCTCTTCCTGGTCTAAAGCCTGCCTGGCTCTCTCGTGTTTGTGCTTCCCGAGCACCACTCAGTCTACGCATGATTATTGAGCCTAAGACTTTAGATACTATATTAGTCAAGCTAATCCCTCTGTGATTATCACAGGAAGACTTGTCTCCCTTCTTGTATATGGGGATAATCAGTGACTTACACCAACCCGATGGGACTTCTTCTGATTCCCAAACGCTGCCTAGTACCTCAGTTAATCCGGACAGTAAGCTGTCTCCACCGTACTTAAATACCTCTGGAGTCATTCCATCAGGTCCCGCTGCTTTGCCTAGTTTCAGATTGGTGACAGCTTTAGTAACCTCAGTTAGTGACGGAGGACCTGTATCTATATCCCATTCAGGGAGGTGTTGGATGCTCGGAAGGTTGAGCGTGGCTGTGGGCAAATTAAACTGCTCCTCATAATGCTCTTTCCAACGATCCAGTCGTCTATCCTGTGAGCTAATTATAGTGCCATTTTTTTCCGAGATTGTCTCACTAATGATTTGTCTTCTCCCACCCGTTTCCCTGATGAGTCCAAAGAGTTGCCTGGTGTTGCCTATCCTCGAAGCTTTCTCCATCTCTTTGGCTTTTGTCGCCCACCACTGTTCACGGTCCTTGCGGAGACTTTTCGTAAGTTTCCTCTTGTGCAGCTTTCGCTCCTCATTGAATTCGGAGCTCGCCGGAATAAGTCTTCTAGCATCTATCAGTTCGGATGAGGCGGTGGAGATCCAGTGGTTTTTACTCACCTTTGGGTTTACCTTATTCACAGCTTTTACAGCTGTATCTATGGCTGCCTGGATATTTTTCCAAGCTTCTTCAGGGTGAGCACAGCTGTCGAACACAGATATGTGTTTAGCTAGTTCTTCCTCAAATACGGATTTAGTTTCCTGATCGAGCTGGGGACGTGATGGTTTTACCGCCAGCTGTTTCCTACGTCCGTTCAGTCGTAAGCACACCCGAGCGCGGACCAGTGCATGGTCGGTATCTACGCACGTGTTCCAGAAGGAGCGACAATCTCCTACCGACCCACGCCAACGATAGCTTATTGCTATGTGGTCTATTTGTGTCCAGCGTTGGTTTGACGAAGGGGGTCTCCAAGTCAAACAGTGTCTCTCCTTGTGTTTGAAGTTAGTGCTTACAAGAAACAAATGATTATCAGAGCAGAACTGTAGGAGACGGTCACCGTTGTCGGTTCGCTGGCACGGAACTCCATAGGTGCCACCGACATCCTTCTCAGATTGACACAATTTCCCTACTTGAGCGTTAAAGTCACCAGCTAGAACGACTATGTCTGAGCACAGTGAGCTAGTATGATACGCTTTATTATTCCCTACGTCCTAATGTGAGCAGATTTTGTCCACATTTCACTGCATTCAAAGGATAAATAAAATAATGCTTGGTTGCTGTTTACAGTAGCTTAGTGGAAACAGAGTCAGTATTAGAATTAATAGCATGAGAAAGCGATTGATTTATCCAACTGAATTAGAAATCACAGGAATTCAAATACATTCTCAGGGCCAAAGAAAAACTGTAATGTCTTCATCAATTGAAATCAGAAAAAAACCATTGGTTAAACAGTTTAACTGTTCATTTAAACGAACAATAAGCTTTACAAATAATATCTATAGGAAATATTTTTAACTCCAAGCTAACACAGAAATAACGTACAGACTAGTAAATTGGGCACTATACCAGTGATACTGTTTAGCTTGACATAAGTGGATCTAAGCTGAAGAATGCAATACACTGCATAACTGAATTTATCGGAATAAACTGTCGACTATTCGAAAATACAAACGTGAATTTAATGGGAATGAACTAACGCTTTCAAAACTTTCCAAAGGATCATAAGCTGTCATTAACTTGAGAATTTATTCTTTGGCATCATCATATATCTTTTCAAACCTCATTTTCAACTTACCTGGGCCCTGTTTGTATACAGAATATCGTAATCCTTCGCCAAATCGATCGCTTTTGTATACAAATCCACAGCCTTTTTGCAATTTCCAGCCTTAAAAAATGTATTGGCGCGATCTTTAAGTTTGTCTGCCTCTTCACGTTGTCTAGCTCGTCGCTGGGCCCGTTCTTGTGCATCCTGTGCAACTGCTGACATGAAAGCAGTTACATCATCAGTTTTTCCAGAGTAATCTGCACAAAGAAGTTTGAAAGCCTAGTCAGCATTTAAAACACAACGAATTATTTTATTAGTTAGTCTAAAAATAAAGAGCATACGTCTGTGCACCTCCCAACAGATTACTATGGGATGTTATAAAAACGCCCAATGACTTAGAAAGGAAAAATTATAAATACTCCTCGTGGACTGAATTAAATAAACTACTACAAACAAAGCAATGCCTACATGGCACACACCACTTAGTGAAGCTGTTTAAGAACATGAACAGTCTTATTTTTGTGCACACTGATAGATCTTGAAAAGAAAAGTGGAATGTTTTTTAATGATTATAATTTGTTTCAATTTATTATCTTCAAATAATGTAAGATGCATGCATGTATACACATGCATACAGATGCATATATATATATATATATATATATATATATATATGATCTTATTACTGAGAAATTACAAATAGAAATAGGTAACAAATTACAATAGAAATAGGTCCTAACATTGCTAAACAGTAATTCAAATTGCCATACTTCACATCTCCAAGTAGACTGTGATACGAGGGAAGACACTGAAAATAACATAATAAGAATTTTTGGACATATACGTAAAAGTGAATGGCAAAATGCATTAGAACATTAGGATTATGATGAGAAGTTAATGTATACACCTAAGAGCTGAATTCATAAGTCTTATTTGAAGTCTTCAGCCACTCGTAAACTCCAACTTGGCTTATGTTTTGTTATGCGACCATTATCAAAGTGGAGACTACTACAATATTGTACTCGTTTTGCCTTCAACACAACTAATTATCTAGCTATTACTGCAACTTGAAGTATGCAGCGGTTAAACTTTGAAGAGAAAGAAGTAACTCTTTACTAGACATTCGTAAACCGTGCTGCGGAGAGCAGTTTTCAGTTACTATCTGTGATCTTAAGTCAATAATATATTTACATACTTATAAATGTAAAATTACATGGAACGTGATGTGAAACAAATTTAGCTATGAATCCCCACCGATAGCTGCTACCTTGCACAGTGGTCGGACTTGCATATCGAAATGACCCAACAAGCTACACTCGCTGGAACTATCGTTTCTGCAGGTCCTACTATGCCACCAATGTTGTTAGGATAGCGATTAGACTGTAAGCAGTTACCGGCGTAGTAAAAGAATTTTTTCACACTATACTGGGGGTCTGTGGGTGAAGTCGTACTGCAGGGAAACAAGGATGCAACAGCAGTCAGGTTTTTCCCTCAGATGACCAGCATGCCGGCTATGCTGTCTCTCCACTGTAGAGAGAGGCGAGTGTTAGAAAGGTCGACCCCAACAATTGTACATTCCGACTTAACCTACGGTGGTCCGTAACCGGCGGTAAGTTTACCAATACGAAAACAATTCAATAAACCAGTTCATACAGGCCGTGTGTGACCGACCGGCCTCAAGCAGTTGTCTCCTGGGCTCTGCTGTCACGCGACACTAACGCTCTTTCTGTTTCAGGTACCTGAAGAAAATAATCAACTTCTTTGGTGTGGCCAGCCGGAAAGTAACACCCGCCCACACACCTCCTAAAGCACACAAAGCCCCCCTTGAGCATCATTCTCATTTATCCACGTCACTCTCATCATCTTACTTTCCTACTACAGTCAGTACTATTCTACATGCTAGTGAGTCATCTCCACTTCATTCTGAGACGACAAACAACGAAGAGAGCCATAGAAACACCCGCGATAAAGCCACGCCGCCAACTTCCGATTGGAGCACCTCAGTTCTGCTACCGTTCCACAAAAAGGAAGACAGGTCAATATGCGAGAACTACCGAGGCATAAGTCTGATTGATATCGCTGCTAAGGTTTTTGTTTCCATTCTCCTGAACCGCTTCGCGGCCGAACGCCACGTGCGAACAAGGCCAAATCAAGCCGGATTTTGACCTGGGAGAGGCTGTGTTGATCAATTATTCACACTGCGAAGAATTTTGGAACACAGGGACAAATCCCAACAGCCGACGGTTGCTTGCTTCATCGACTTCCAAGCGGCATTCGACTCAGTTGATCGAGGAGCACTCTGGTATCTAATGGAGCTCGACGGAGTTCCGACCAAGCCAATCAACCTGCTCAGGTCATACTACTCCAACACCAAAGCTCGAGTCCGAGTGAACGGTGAAGAGTCCCGCACTTTTGAGGTAACCAGCGGTGTCCCGCAAGGTTGTCCAGTATCCCCCATCCTGTTCAATTTCACAATTGATTGGATTTTGTGGCACGCCCTAACCGAGCACCACGGCGTCCAACTTTCGCCCGATATTCACATAACCGACCTCGAATTCGCCGACGACGTCGTGCTGTTAGCTGAAAACTTCCCCGATATGCAACAGGCGCTCGACCAGATAAATCACCTCGCGCCTACTATCGGTTTGAAAATTAACACTTCCAAAACCAAAATGTTTTCGAACACATCCACCAGCAATGATGAAATCTTATCCCTAAATGGAGCACCTATTGAAATTGTGCCATCCTTCAGATATCTGGGATCCATAATGCTCCCCAACGGCCAAGCGAAAAACGAAGTGAATGCGCGAATCTCCAACGCCCGGAATGCGTTTCTACAGATGAGGAGCGTTCTATGGAGCAAGAGAGAAATCAGTCTCAGGACTAAAATTCGGGTCTACCAAGCTTCCATACGACCCGTTCTCCTGTATGGCTGTGAAACCTGGCCTCTTCGCGCGGAAGATTTACGCAGACTCGAGGTATTAGACCATTGGTGTCTCAGGTACATTCTGCATGTTCGTTGGCAGAACAAACTCTCCAACGAAGAAGTGCGTCGTCGTTGCTACAACATCAACCAAATTCCAGTACTGGTCCAACAACGCCGCCTTCGGTGGTTTGGCCATGTTCTGCGCCGACCAGATGACGATCTGGTCAAATCAGTTCTAAATCTCTCGCCATTACCATCTTGGCGATGTCGCAGGGGCGGACAGCTGAAGACATGGCTTGGTACAGTCAAGGCAGATATGGAGTGCCTGGGGCTACAAACCGTCTACGGACTCCGTATGTGGAACGAGAATTGGATATTCCTATCGCTTCAGATCGCCGCGCCTGGGCAGCGATGATTCGAGACGTTCATGAAGCCGGCTCATCCTCTCGTAGGAGATAGCCGAAGTAAAGTAAAGTAAGTAAGTAAACAAACTGTTTACAGATATTCAACGATTTGGAAATCCTCCTCTCACTTTACATACACACACACACAAGCATAAAAATTTAATGAATACAGCGGTGTTGTAACCATACTTCTGAGCAGGTTCGAAGGGAATCTCGCAAGCATTTCGCTAAATGATTCAGCTCTATAAAGGGGAATAGTGGAAATGAGAGTAGAACACACAAATCAATTTGAATAATTGGTGAGAATATGCACTCAGTCACTTTCCATTAGTGAGGTAGCTAATAAACTATTGAATTCCAATACATACTCAGAAGGAAGCGGTCTTCCATTCTTCTTTAGAGAATCTACTCATTTTCGATCTTTCTACATACAGTACGTCATTTGTTTTGACTCATAGTCTTTTCCTTGCTATTCGAATTTTACTCGTATTATTTTAATAAGTTTATAACGAAATATATCCTGGAACCAATCCACTAGCTACCGCCCAAAACTTTAACATGAACACAATACTAGTTAGTATTGCGGACTTATGGAATAAACCTCCTGCGATGCTAACAAAAATCGTCATTGGTGGGGTCCACAAAGTCAGGAATGAGGACAGATAACCGTCGATGGTACCATTGCAAACTCACGGAAGTTAGGCTCCAACGGTAGCTTCTACCTTGACGTAGTGGTCGGACTTGAATATCGAAATGACCCAACAAGCTACACTCGCTGGATCTATCGTTTCTGCCGGTCCTACTATGCCACCAATGTTGTTAGGATAGCGATTAGACTATAAGCAGTTACTGGCGTAGTGAAAGAGTTTTTTCACACTATACTGGGGATCTGTGGGTGAAGTCGTACTGCAGGGAAACAAGGATGCAACAGCAGTCAGGTTTTTCCCTCAGATGACCAGCATACCGGCTATGCTGTCTCTCCACTGTAGAGAGAGGCGAGTGTTAGAAAGGTCGACCCCAACAATTGTACATTCCGACTTAACCTACGGTGGTCCGTAACCGGCGGTAAGTTTACCAATACGAAAACAATTCAATAAACCAGTTCATACAGGCCGTGTGTGACCGACCGGCCTCAAGCAGTTGTCTCCTGGGCTCTGCTGTCACGCGACACTAACTCTCTTTCTGTTTCAGGTACCTGAAGAAAATAATCAACTTCTTTGGTGTGGCCAGCCGGAAAGTAACACCCGCCCACACACCTCCTAAAGCACACAAAGCCCCCCTTGAGCATCATTCTCATTTATCCACGTCACTCTCATCATCTTACTTTCCTACTACAGTCAGTACTATTCTACATGCTAGTGAGTCATCTCCACTTCATTCTGAGACGACAAACAACGAAGAGAGCCATAGAAACACCCGCGATAAAGCCACGCCGCCAACTTTATATAAGAGCATTCAACGTCAGGACCCTCGGTCAAATCGGACAAAAGGCATCACTAGCAAGAACTCTGGAATCTCGAGCCATGGATGTATGTTGCGTCTCGGAGATACGCATACAAGACCTGAGTGTGGCCATTCACTTAATCTCACCCGGTCAACAAGGTGAACCTGTGAAATTCTGGAGATCCCTCAGCTAGTTGGTGAGGACTCGCAGATGTGGGGATAACATTGAGTGTTCGGGCGGAAGTCCTACTTTAGTGGACCCCAGTTGATAGCCGTATGTATTCGGTCCGTCTGAACAGGTCCGTTAGCAGAAGGAAGGACGGCGCCATCCATCGTTGGCTTTTCGTAGTCTCCGCTTACGCCCCAACAGACTGCAGTTCGGATGAACTGAAGGATGACTACGGCGATCGTCTCCTATAGTTCTGTTTAGGTAATCATCTGTTCCTAGTCAGCACTAACTTCAGGCACAAAGATAGACACTGCGTAATCTCGTGACCCCCATCACCAAATCAACACTGGACTCAGATAGACCACATAGCGATAGGGTATAGTTGGCGAGGGTCAGTAGAAGACTATCACTTCTTTTGGAACACGTGAGTAGACTCTAATCACGCCCTGGTTCGCGCACGTTTATGATTACGATCACATGGACGTAAAAACTTGTTGTCAGTGAAGTAGTTGCGTCCCCAACTAAATCGAGACTTTGAGTCCCTATTTAAGGAAGAAATAGCGAAACGTGTATCTGAGGTCGACTGGAAGATTCCTCCTGAGGAAGCCTGACTGGCACAGCATACAGTTAGCTGTAGACACAGCTGTTGATAACCCACTGTCAAAAGTTAGTAGTACCCATTGAATTTCTACCGCCTCATCCGAACTGAATAACTCAAAAAGACTGATTCCGGTGAGCTCCGATTGTGATGACGAGCGAAAGCTACTCAAACGAAGACTAACAAGAAGCCTTCGTAATGACTGTGAACAGTGGTGGGCGACAAAAGCAAAGGAGATGGAAAAGGCCTCGGCGATTGGTAACCCCAGACAACTATTTAGACTTATCAGGTAAACAGGTGGTAAAAGACAAGCGATAAGTGAAACAATCTATGAGAAAAGTGGCACCATAATTAGCTCCCAGGACAGACGACTGGAACGCTGGGAGGAACACTTTGAGGAGCAGTTTAATTGGCCTACAACCGTACTCAACTTACCGAACATCTAACGCCTCCCTGAATGGGATATAGGTACAGGTCTTCCGTCCCCAACTGAGGTTACTAAGACTGTCACTAGTCTGAAACGAGGCAAAGCAGCAGGACCTGATGGAATGACTCAAGAAATGTTTAAGGATGGTGGAGACAATTTACTGTCTGAGTTATCTGCAGTATCAAGAAGCATCTGGGAATCAGAGGAAGTCACATCGGGTTGGTGCAAGTCCGATATACAAGAAGGGAGACAAGTCTTTCTGTGATAATCACAAGGGGATTCACTTGACTAATATGGCGGTATCTAAATTTCTAGGCTCATTAATCATGCATAGACTAAACAGTCCACAGGAGGAACAAACACCAGAGAACCAGGCGGGCTTTAGACCAGGAAGAGGGTGTACCGATCATATCCTCACGCTTCGACAGATTTTGCAACATAGGCATACTTACCGACGTCCAACAATCGTTATATTTCTTGACCTAAAGGCGGAATTCGATTCTCTTGACCTTTAGGTACTCTGGGGATGCTTGGCTGTGAAGCGAATGACGAGAAAATACATTGCACTGATCAAGCCACTCACTCTACTCGAACTCATGCAGTCAGTCAGGTGAGGGCTTACGGCGAGTTGTCATCTCAAGCGGTGACGACTAGCGGTGTCCTTCAGGGATAACCACTGTCCTCATTTCTGTTTAATTTCATCATAGATGTACTGATGAATTAACCCTTAGTAGCTTCAGTGACTCAAGGATTGACTCGTTATCATCAGGGAATAATCTCGTTGACTTAGAATATGTAGATGATATTGTCCTACCACCTGGGTGAGGACGCTGACGTAATACAGAGTATTCTGAGCACTTCGACAAGCAGCTATTTTCGAATGAATGGCAAGCGATTCATTCGTGCTGTCTAATGTAAGATGATGATGCTGCAGGACTAGTCTGGATTATATTGACTCCTGGCTTAGAAATAAGGAGTGAAGTGGTAGAGCATGCTGACAACTTCACTTGTTCGGGAAGTTACATCGACCAATGCCAGTGGGTTGATCACTGACGAAATCTCAGCATGGCGGATACAGAAGGCTCGTCCTGCATATGCCAGTTTACGCCATCTCTGGCTTAGTAGACGTGATATACAGCTGACTGTCGACCAAAGGGCGTGTGTACTGCTCAACAGTCCGCTCCGTCCTCCTTCATGGCTGTGAGATCTGGCCATTGAGAGTGGAGGACATGAAAAGGCTAGCTAGCTAGCTAGCTGTCTTTGATCATAGGTGCCTGAGTTCTATCTCCCCTGTTTGAAGTGGCATAATAAGATGAGCAATACGGAGGTTAGGCCTCTGTCGAGTGCTAGGTAAGGAGGGGAAATCAATAGACGAGACCGTGAAGTTACATCGATTGAGGTGGTCAGGACATGTGTGACGCATACCTAGGAGTCGCCTCCCTCGAGAGTCGGCAATGTTAGCTAACATAGGAGAGATCGGGTTGGAAAAGAGCCAGTGACGATCAAACCAAAACATGGCTTCATTAGTCAATGAAATCCACAACAGTTAGTTCAAGCCAGTCAGTCACGTTGGGAGATGTAGACTTCCTGATTGGGGTCCTAGGGCTGGTGGAAACCAATGGCTGGAGACAATTGGTGATATGCCTCGAAATCGTTCTCGATGGCTGGCGGAGATGTATCCACTCCTTGTGACTTATAATATCCAATAAAACTATTGTTCTTCCCATTGGCCGAACAATGTGGAAGACGAATGGTCAAATTATATTGTTCTTCGTTACAACTATTCCTTTTGTCTCGTATCCCTGTCTACTGTCTCTTTTTTTACATTTCGTCTCCTTTCTTCTCTTGCTTTGTGTGCTGAGTGAAGTGTGGTGACTTGAACTGATGCACATCGGTTGAAAGCAGACAGACCGCTACATATCTTTATATCTGTGTGACATTTAAAATTCTACACATTTTTCATCGTAGCGTAGCATGCATGAAGTCGTTTAAAATCTACTACTTTATGTCGAGTTTTGGCGAAAAGCAAGTAGATGATATGAAAACTCAGTGTTTTCCAAGTCCTGCAACAACCATGGGCACAGTTAAATTAAAATGTGATACGTTACCGTTTGCATGCTAATATATATACACATATATCATTCCTTTTTGTATCAGCATACCAAATGTGTATAAGTACCAACTTTTACGCCCGCATGTGCACAACATTATAGGATGACCAGAATTCATGAAGCCAGATAATGAAGAGAAGTGTCTTCTAACTCAGCATGTAGCTAAGCATTTCAGCCTTTCATATTTTACAACATCAGGATTAATTGCAAACTTATTCGTAAGTCTACATATGCACGAAATTTCAAGACAGCATCACTTGGCACGAATAATGTACCAATTTGTGTTCCAAATAGTAAATATTAGTCATTATGTTAAAGAACACGCCATCCTAAAGACATTCATTGATCCACAAATTGCAGTATTTAAATTACAAGCAGATGAAAGGGAGTATGATAATGGTGTATCAAAATATGCAAAAACCATTCCAATCAAATAAAGAGAATCCAATCTGAGACTAACTTCGAAAGTTCATTCTCAAATAGATATATAAAGAATAAAAGGTTTCTAGGAAATTTTTCCCCAGTTTGACTCAAAAAAGTGAGGAGTTACGCTTTGTACATTTATCGCATTATACAACAGACAATAGCTAATGTGGGAGTATGCTTCCTTGACCAGGGGGAAATGAAATACTGGTAGAAACAGATGTTGACTTCAACCAAACCAAAAAAGGAAGACTTCAATACCATCCGCTTACATTTTTACACACAATAATTAACCCTGGTCTGCAGCTCAAAATATATGAATTTCGACAAACAAATCACCCAAGTTAAACTTTGAGCACCAAGATATAGCATAGGACAAATGATCTTAGACGCACTACGATAGGCCTTCCTCACGTATAAAATAAATATGTTCATGAAAATGATGAGTGGAAAAGTATGAAACTGTCTCACAGGATACGATTCTCTGAATCGTTCCGAAATGCCTCACAATTTCGCACTGTTATTAGGGTAATTAAGACTCATTGGACACATGTATTCATCTAGGACCACTAACATACCCTAACTCGAGCCAAACTTAATATCTCCTTCATTTGGTCAACCTAATGCGGTAAGTAAGGTTAACTAACTTAACCCTGACGTGTCCTTAGCCCAAACCTGTATCTTTCCTAAACCTGACCTTAAACTTACCAGATATACTGTCTATCTGTTTTCGACATAGATAGACCAGATATACCGTTTAGTATCATAACGCCACTAAGCCTATTTTATTCGTGGTTATATTCTTATCTGTCTGGTTTCACTAACTTGAAAAGGTGAGAATTCCTAGGTAACTGGTGTGAAACACTCCTCTGGAACACTTAAGTTTAACTTCGCCAACAAACTTATACAGATTACCTAAGTGTGCGTACAGTATAAGAAACATATTTACCATTACCATCAACACAAACATATTTGGTTTTACCTGGATTTATTGACTGTTTGTTCACTTTATTTACAACCACTTTATCAAAACCTAGTTGTGTATATTGGTAAATTAAACGATAACTAACCATTTGTACATTTCTCCTTAAGAAAAGAATCAGCTTCCTTACAGGCCATCTGGGAGACATTACTATCTGATGATGACAACTTCTTCACTAATTCTAAAACTTTATCAACATCCTTTAGTTTCTCGAGTGAGTCTTCAGTATCCATAATAAGGACATGCGACTATATGGACCGCCAAACAAATAGCCAATTCGACCTTCAAAATGTAGCATTACTACTCCTCAAACTTTTTACGATGAAACTACCGAAAAAAATAGTCTACGTTTAAAATAATTTTAATTACATTTGGATGCATTTGTGATTGATCTAAGGCTGCTTTCACTAATCCTGAGGGATAAGAAAAGGTCGAAATGCAAACGGTCAGTGAAACAAAAATTATATCGACACTAGAAGAATATGCACAACAAAACTCAAACTTTTGAGTAAGTCGACCTAATCCTTACAATTATCCGTGTTTCTTTTGTCGCGCTGCTGTCGGATATTTTAAATACTCCCTTCCCTTTCAGAGAAACGGAAAAAGAACACTTAATGGTTTACAGAGACAGAGGTGATGACAGTCATTGGGGGGGGGGACATTAGTTTGAAACTATATCAGGAGGTTCCTCCGATTTCTTCATTTCCTAAGTGTTTTCTTCGTATCCCCCATTGTCTTCCCTTTTGAAACTATATCAGTTAAACAGTATGTAGGAAAATAGAAACCAAATCAGGTTTAACATATTCAGGGTAACTGGTTCACACTGGGCATAAACTCTAGTGAAATCCGCATTAGGTGTTGCTTGGTTTAGAAACTTTGCTTCATTATCTAAAATAGGCAGTGGAGACTGCAACCTGTTATCGTTACAAGCTACTTTCTACGCTTGACCAACGTAGAGGATGTGTTAGTAGTAGTTGCTAAACAGTTCATCGTTAGCGAAACGAACTTCATGTGACAATTCTGTCAACAAGCAAATTACAATAGCCAGTTTATTCCAAGTTTCATAGGAATCATGTCTACTAGAGAGCTAAGGTTTCGAAATATATTTAAACAAAGCTTGCATTGAATCTGTGGTTTTTACTAGTTGATCACGGATTGATATCAGTTAGAGAAACATTGAACACACGGAGGGGTGGACAGCGTGAGGTCCAGCGTAGTAAGACCTGAACATTGACAGTTTCTGAGAGTTGGCTGACAGTTACTGAAAAGAAACATCGAGTGGCACTTCAACCCACCACATACCAGCCATAGAGGTGGGCTATAGAAAGGATTTACAGGAATTATCAGGCGTATTTTAAGCTCCATAATTAAAAACAAGAGTTAGAACGACGAAACGCTGGAGACATTTTTATGTGAAGCTGAAAGAATGCCAAATGACCGGCCGCTATTACCTGTGACGGACGATGTCAAGGATTTCGATGTGTTAACCCCAAATAAAGTGTTGTTATTGAGAGGTGACCCTGGCATAGAGGACCCGAGCGCGGAACGCATGGAAACAAGCCAGGCACATGAAAGATAAATTTTGGAAAAGATGGTTAAAGGAGTATGTTCTAACACTGCAAACCAGAGACAAGTGGAAAAAGTTGTGCAGAAACTTAAAGGTTGGTGATATAGTCTTAGTAGCAGATAAATGTGTCACAGGTAGATGGCCTTTGGGAGTGGTAGAAAGGCTGATCTATAGTGGTGATGGGTTGGTGAGGATGGTTGAGGTGAGAACAAGTGGTGGTATGTTGGTTCGAGATATTAGGAAACTGTGTCTACTGGAAGGTGCTGAGAGTCGAGAGTCGGAGGATGAACCAATTGAAGATTTTCCAACCTAGGGCGTCAACCTGAGAAGAGTTGTGGGCGTACTGCTGTAAGTCCTACAGTTCTTCAAGGGTAGCTCGTCAAGGCAGAATCTACAACAATTGATGTATTGATTGTACATATGTTGGTGTTAAGTAATTGAGTGGGTTCCAATTAATGTATTTGTTGGTTTATTTATAGTTGTCGCATTTAGTGAATCAGCTTTTAATGTTGTTGTAAGTACTTCTGAAGTCGTTTCTACTCTTCTAAACTTGTGAACGAATCGAGTAGTGTTAGAGTCAGTGTATGCGATCGGAGACGCCGGGGAGAGGATTGTGCCAGAGTGACATGAAGCAACCAACACTTCGTAAACCAGATCAGTGGTGATACTGTCTACAGAGAGCGTATATTCCACGCGCCGGGGAGAGCGTGTCGGTGTGATGTGGTATGCTTGTTTTGTGTTGGGCTTTCTGGTCTTGCTTTTCCACTTTAGTCTAGCCCCGGTTGGCCCAGGCTCCCGCATTGGCAGTTCGGTTCGAAGTTATCATTGCTATGGAAAAACGGGATGGACCTTTTTTGCCGGGGAGTGTCAATGAACGTGAAAATTGAACGTTCGTCTTTGGAACTGATAGCCATTGGTGGGCAACTCGAAGGCGCGAATGCTTCGATCGTGCACAAGTTCGAAGAGAACGACTAAAAACGAATGAAAGTACTCCATAGTTTTGTCTAAAATATTTGTTTATAGACTTTTACTGTTCTCCGCTTTAATTGCCAAACAATGTAACTTCCTTCTTACAATACTGGTGTTTTGGAGTCAAAGTCGAAGAAAGTATATAGTATTTATCGGTGTGGAGCGTCTTCGTAACAATAGAAACTTAGGGATAAGTTCCTTGACAGGGAACCTGTGCACAATTATGCATCGAGGTGTATATTGCTAAGACACAGGAAGGGTGTTCTCTATCCCTCTTCTACACAAATTTGCTGCATTATCTGATTGTTGTGAAAAATCAAATTGAATACAAACACTCCTTCTTCAGGAAACTTGTGCCATTGGCACGTTTTGCGCTGTTACATCAAGCAAGTTTATAAGTGATCCTCGGTTTAATAATAATAATATATATTTCTTCCTGTTTATGCAGGAACATACCAATTGTACAGGCATGGATAAGTTATTATATAAATTACACAAATTGATGTATGATGAATTTACAGTTTGGTTGTTCTTTCTGACATTAGAGTCAGACGGAACAGTCTGCTATAAAGTCTGTTTGTGTAGCACATAAAGAGATATAGAGATATTGTCTTCGCATTAAGAAAAACCCAGACATCAGATGAATGTAATACGGATATCTGGGAAAAAAAGCTTGAAGTCAATCCTCTTACCTAACTTTGTTGTGAACAGCACCCTCGGCTCAAAGTTTATTGATGTATTATGTTGAGATCAGTGATATATTTATTCCATTTTTTCAGCAGTCTTATCGTAGTTTTATAACAGGAAAGAAATTTGATCGTGGATACGAAAACTAGATAAGGTCATGTTAAGTTGTTTTACTGCATCAAATGGTGTCGAGGTCGATTCCAGAATTCTCCATTTGCTCCATTTGTGTCTGCATGGCGGACTGCATTCGTAAGTTCAGTAAAATGTTGAAAACTGTTTGAAAACCAGTTGCTTCTTCATTTCAGATCATGAATACTCATTTACAGCATGTTCGCCAGCGTCTTCAAATGGTAGAATTGGATCGTTCATGGAATTTGGGTGGTTATGAGGTAGATGGTTTGGAATTAATCCTCATTTCAGTTTAGATGCAGGGTTGTTCGACCTCGACCAGAAGATGAATAGGAGTATCAGAGTACCAAAAAGAGAAAGTATGTGAACATTAAAAGGACATTAATGTATATATATAATTGTTTATGTCAATTGTGTAATAAATTATTAAGAAATTATTTTTAGTTATAGTTCTTTTCACTTATTTATGCGAAGTCTTAGAGTCTATTTAGTGTCATGATGTGTATTAATGAGTCTGAGCGTTTTAGTGTTCTAATGACTGATGCGTTTTAGAAGTAAGTAATGAGTTCTGGTAGGGATAGACTTTGGGATAAAACAGTTTATATAGCAAGCGTTTGAAGGTTACAATAAAGTGACACGTCCTATTTCTAAGGGTAAACTATTCCTGTATGTTCCGTACTAAGTCTTTATGCATCCATGCTGCTAGTTTATTTATGGTTTTTAGATTGTTAAGGGTGTTGAAGTGCGTTTTTTAGGTGCTGTAGTAGATTAGTAGTTGATTCGTTTTAGGAGTAAATAGTTTATTGATATAATCAGTAGAGTGAAACAGTCTATGCAGAGAGCGTTTGAAACTTGTAACCGAAGAGCAAGTTCTGACATCTAGGGGCAGGCTATTCCATATTTTAGAATACATGACTGTGAAGAAGTTTTCACGGAGTGTTGACTTAAAAGAATGAGTTGTCACTGTGGAAGTTTGGTTACGCAGATCGTAAGAACCTTCCTGTGCGAATTGTATGTCCCTGTTACCTGAGAATGATATTTTGTGAAGGACCTTAAAGAAGAATATTAGGTTTATAATAAGTCGCCTTGTCCAAAGTGGGTCAAGTTTTAGGATCATGCACCGTGAGATGTAGTCTTTCTTACAATCATAGCCAAGTAGTTTTGAGGTAAAATATCGTTGGATACTTTCCATCCTTAGCTTATCACGTGTGCGAGTGCTGCTTATAATAAATGGACAGTATTCTAGTAGTGGTCTGACACATGTTTTGTACAGAATTAGCTTGGCTTCATTGTCGTGGAAGTTCCTGAGTATGCATCCTAAGAGCATCCTCGATTTTCTAGTCTGTGATGCTACTTGCTCAGAGAATGTCAAGTCACTAGAGTACCTCAGGCCTAGGTCAACGACACTTCGGAGTCTGGTTAGGTTAGCGGATTGAAGCGTTAATTTCAGGTCAATTGAGGGTGCACCGAAGCAGATCCAGCCACATTTTTTCAGATTGAATTGGAGGTTCCATAGGGACGACCAAGCAGTCATTTTATCTAATTCCTTCTGCACTACATTCTCGAAGTTCCCTAAGTCATCACTTTGGAATGTATAAGCTACTTTTAGGTCATCTGCAAAGATGAATGGTTTCCCGTGCGTGAAGCAAGCGCATATGTCATTGATGTATAGTGTAAATAGTAGGGGTCCAATGACACTACCTTGTACTACACCAGAAGTGATAGGGCTAGGTTTGGAGGTTGCAGACCCGAGTTTAACTATTTGGGACCTATTGTTAAGGAATGATTTAAGCCATCCTAATAATGGGTCACGTATTCCTAAGGAGTTCAGCTTATTTGTTAGCAGTATATGGTCAACACGGTCAAATGCCTTAGAAATGTCAAAGTAGATGACAAGTACTAGTTGCCGTCTGTCACGACTGCTGGT